CAGAGAAAGAATTCCACGGTCCGCGAATATCTCCTGTTGTTCCATACAAGTAGGACACAGCTAGCCACACTCTGTCCCCTCTCTCTAACATTACTACCGCCATATTGGATCCAACACCGTGGGTATTTTCAATTTTGCTTCCACTGTAAATATATGCGATGATGTCATCATTGCGCATGATATTTTACATCCAGCAACTTCTCTGGCATCGTGAGTATGTTTGCTAGAAATACATACAGCCCTCTAATTGGAGCGATGAAGGCCCCGTATTTAGGGTCATAGCCACCACCTATATTTGTCAACATGGATTTAAAGATAATGGTACGGTCCGTCGTGTCATTCGTAAACGTCGGAGTTTTATCTGAAAGTGCTGTAAACCCCACTGAATGTTTTCTAGTATCTAGGACTTACAGAAGGAAAAAGAAAATACCCATGCATTAATATGCTAGAAATGATCAATAAATGATTTTAATTCGTGTAACGCTAGCGGTTCTGCTAGAAATTGTTTTCATAGTACAAATAATTCACTCAACTCCTTTTATAAATGTACCATTCGCAAAGAAGACGTAAGATAAACATTAACAATTAAATTTATTAAGTGCATTATCAACAAACAATTTATTTAAACGACGACATTCACACCACATTCATACCGAACTAATAATAATAAATGTTTAATAAAAATAAATAATTAAATCATACCATAAACTGATAAAACAGACTGAAAAACCACCCTCAAAAACCTAACGTCTATTTCCTATGCGTATAAAATATGTGACAAGCCGTAGTTATTTATAATTTTAACTTGTAAAACTTAACACCAAGCTTTACTGTATTTAACAGGTTAGCTTGTTAAACTCCTAAAATACTTTATTAAATAAGGACACAAGCCGTGGTTATTTATAACTTTGACTTGTAAAACTTAACAACAAGCATTACTGTATTTAACAGGTTAGCTTGTAAACACTAAGGGCAAAGAAAGATAACTCTAATAATCATAAGTAAGTTTATCGAGAAGCAACGTTTAAAAATTCCCAAGTACTCTAATAAAATAATTTCTATTAAAAATAATTGAAGAAAAATTTACGTATCTAGAATAATTAAATTACTGTATGTAAATAAAATAAATAATTGACTTTCGTTGAACTAATCAACTTTAGTCATCATAAAAGAGAAAGATAGCAAACGTATAACTTTAGTTACATAGTTTGCATTAAAATAAAAATGAAATAAAATGGAGTAAAAATGAAAAATAAAATAATCCTAGATCAATTGATTACTAAAGAAGACTACTCAGTCATAGACTGTTGAGTCTTTAAAAACAACCGATAGCGGACAATAGTATTTTACTATTTAATGTCCTAGTCGGTTAAATTCTATCCTAACTAAATAAATTAAAAATAAAATAAATTCTTAAATAAAAATAAAAGATAGACAAAATAAAAGTTAAAATAAAATCCTAAAAAAAATCTAAAAGTTCCGTAAAACGGACCTACCAAATCGAAATAAGCAGAAGAGTGACTCAAAATTCTCAGCGTCTAACTTTTATATGACTCTATGACAGAAAATAACGGAAAATGCTGGAAAATGACGGATATTAAAAGAATTATTAATTATGAAATTTCATTGGATTATCAATTAATGATCAATTATATCGAACAATCAGATTGGTCAATAGTAAAACGTCACGATCTTTCACGTGAACAAGTGTCACCAAATATTCTATACAAGTATGAAATAATGAATTTTTACATATTTATCAATTAAATAAAAATACATTTCACAATAAATAATTAAAATATAACAAATTAAACTTAAAACAATATTCAGTTCATCTCGAAATACAGTCATTCATAAGATACCGCCATTCAAACTCGATATATTTATCGGTTATATTACAAATGCAAGGATAAATTTATCAATTACTTTAACAAGTTTCTAAACCGGAAGTACATCGTAATGAAGAGTGAAACTGTCAAACAATGTGACAACAGAAGTTTAGACTATTTCACAGGTATCATATCAACTAAATAACACTAAACAAACAACAATCACATACTGTTTGATACAGTTATAGTCTTAGGATGTATACTTAAGTGCTGATTTACAAATGACATACTTTATTAATCTTTTACCAAACTCTAACTCAGTTCGAATTATCTCAGTCATGTTTATGTTATCAAAATATATCAATCTACCCTTGTTTCACAAGTATATACATTTACAATTAAGTGACTTAGGTACAACTCTGCGAATAGCACATTCATATAAAACAAAATAAAACTGTGAATAAACAAACTTCATCAACCCGCTCCAAATCACCACAATGCATGATAACATATTACAGACATTGACCCTATTTGATAGAAAAATCAACCCGCTCCAAGCTCACACATATATAGTAAAATATTACAGTCATTGACTCAGAATGACTAAACACTGTTGTGGATAAAATAAAAAGTTACACCATGTAACCTAACATTACTATTATTACATCATTTAAAAAGGGGGGGGGGGGGTCACATGCACTACAATTCGTCTTTCTTAGGAAAGAAGGAAACAAAATTGTTATGTTTTGGAAGAGCTTGTACTTTGTAAAATACGTACAGTAATTGGAAGAGATTTTGTTGATACATATACATCTCTTATATGTAATTTTCCTTCTTTTAGAGTTTCTTGCTTTGAAATTAATAAATTGATTTTTATTTTAAGATTAGAATTTTCCCTTTCTCTCAGATTTGAATTTACAGAAAGAATAGCACTCCTTTTCTTAGCGTATCCTGAGGGGAATTCATTAAGTTCATTATTCACCTACCTGTGTATAAGGATGTCAGTAGTGACAGGCTTTTTTCGCAGCCACAATCATCGTCAGTCTTGTAAAATAATCTTTGTCCTCTGGAAATTTCAAGAAACAGCCAAAAAGCGGGCAAACAAAATTTGGAATAAAATCATAATTTGACATAGAGCTGGTGAAGAATAAGGTCCTTGAAACCTGTTCTGCGTTTACCTGGATAGTTTGCCAACAGGCTATTTTCCTTCATGTTAGCTCATTACTTTGCGCACTGAAAATTAGGTAAGATCTTTTTCCGGGATTTTTTTTCTTTAATATTCAGTGTATCAGCCCATAGAATTCGTTAAAACTTAAAATAGTTTAAGCCTGTGGGTCTTTAAAGATGCATTATTTTTCTTTTTGTTCTGATTGTTTTCACAAGTGTTGTTTCATGTGGCTAGTCATATCAGAAAAACTGGCAATTAAGATAATTTCATAAAATCCCCAGCGGTATACGCGTAAACTTAAGGTCACACACAACATACCTTAAAACATACCTTACCTACTGATAATTTTTCAAGATATTCTTAATTCAAAATCATAGTACCTTCAGAAGTTCTTAGATAAAAAATCAACATACATTACCAGGGGTTTAAAATAGATAAAGATGAAAATTCTTGTGTTATTCGAAGAAAAATTAACAAAAATAGTTTTAGCTGGTATTTCCTCAAATTTAATTTAAAAGGGATGTACAGTATCAAAAGACTTTATACAAAAGCCATTCAATTATTGAACCACTTTAATTATGGAGGTAATAAGAAAATGAAAATCAAAACTACATTAATTAGCAAGTTCTTAAATTGGAAAAACCTCTGTATGAGAATCATAACAACTGAAAATTTTGAGAAATTGCAAAATTGTAAAATTTGTCCAAAAATTGTTAGCTTGCAATGAAAATTATTATTTATAACGAGGCCAATTTCACTTTAAACGAATTATTTAGATTAGCTCGCTACAATCAATCAAATGACCCAGATGATTGACCAATAAGGCTCGACATATCTTGATCACACTTGGAGACATCTCGATCAATACATGTACTCCTTTATATATATATACATGTAGAGAGAGAAAGAATAGGGGGATCACGTGATTAAAGTTGATAGTGATGAGAACAAGCACACTGTATATTTTGAGTTAATATTTATCTTTAAAAAAAAATGAAAATTTTCTTTCATTTTTCTCTAGGGGAAAAAAAATTGAAACTGCGGTTAAATACAACCACGTTTTCTTTGTCATTGACATATCGATACATCACTAACTCCACAACCTTTGTCGGTGTTGAGAGGCTCATTATATTATACAATTATTGCTGTTTTTGAGGTCAATACTATGATTTAGCCACCTGAGGAGTACAATATTGACCGAGCCCGAAGAGCTAGGTGAATATTTACTTTGAAGGTGGCTAAATCATTGTATTGACTGAAAAAAGCAATAATTGTTAAATATTATATAATTCAATGATTATAAATGATACAATGTCGTCAATCAATCTATGTCATCTTACTTGTTTACATTTGCTGAAGTCTTAGTCAAACACAATGTAGAGAAGTGGAGTTGAAATAAACATAACCAGTTGTATTAAAAGGAAAAAAAATGACATCTTACCTTTTAAAAAAAAATCTTTGACTGGCCCCCTCCACATAAAAATTCTCCAAACTCCAAATCTTATTAGGGAGGGGGTCACAACCAGACTTTCATACTAAATTAAAAGTAATTATTTACATTTAGAAAAAAGTCTGGGGAGGGGGCAGAGCACCCCTGCATCCCCCATTCCCCTATTCTATGTGTCTGAATGTTATGTTCAATGGAGTGGAAGTTGGGTGCAAGTGAAATAACTTTCTAGAACTATTTGTATCAATTTGGAATATCCTGATCTATTTTTAGTCCAATGTAGAAAAAAATCCTTATTTTCACCCTGAAGGTCACGTGCAGGTGAAAATAACGTAATATTTTATCTACAATGTTAGATCTCAAACAATCAGAGAGGTAGGAATTATTCAATCGTATAATATTATATACAGATTTAGAAAAGCCTGAACAACCTAAACGAACATAGCAAGAAAAAGTATAAATTATGTAACACTTTGACACTTTGAGAGAAAGAAATACTCAAGATATATAAATTGAAAAACATATATTTACTGATATTATTAAACAACAAGCGGAGTAAATTTGTTTTTTGAAATGTGCTATCTGTGAATATACTAGTATTGAAAGACTACAGGTGAACATCTGGTGCTGACATCATTAAAAAATGTTTCTTTTTTTAACTTCTCTCTGCAAAAGAAAATAAATGATTTGATCGATCATCTAATACAATTCAACAAAAGCTGTAAAAGAAATGGCAATTTAAATAATGAAATGATTTTAGTGACTATTAGTAACATAAGTATACCCTTAATTGAATTTTTTTTTAAAAAATCAATAACCATACCTATTCTACTTACATGTGTGTATGCGAAATATGATTGAAATGAAACAAAATATTGTTTAAAGACAGACAGGCAGAGAGACCAGACACCTTACAAATAATTATGTTCTGCTATTTGACAATATATCACAAAATATATCACAATATATCACAAAATATATCACAATATATCACAGTAATTTATAGATAGTCTTGCCTATTCTTCATGTCTTTAATGCTACAAAATATATTCAAATGGGAAAAAACAACAAGAATGATGAAAATTTGAAACTGAGCCTGGCTGAGACCTTTCTGATTATTACGAATGCCATCATTCAGAATCAATATATAAAACAAAGAAATAATTTACCTCTTTCTCACATATAAACTTGTAGGCTATGGTACATTTGGCGTCGTTCCAGTGGTAATCGGACTCGGGGTTGATGTGAACGCAATCCTCTCCTCCTCTGTCATTATTTGGTTCCCCCTCCACCCAATCAGCGAACGTAAATGTCACCTGTGACGTCATCCAGTACCACTGACCCTCAATGATAGCGTCAGACCCTCCAATCCACATACATTCTATAAAAGCAATGCCATATTATTGTGTAATGTTCTCTTTTTTGCATAAGGCGGTGCTTAATTCTTTTGATACAATATCAACTTGTGATCTATGAAGATTTATTCATTATTCCTTTTACTGAAGCCCCGACCTTTCGAAACTTCTCAAATTACAATAGATAATCACGCAAGTAGTTTTGCATGTCACTGATTTCGTGACCTATTCGTATTTCTCTAACTTTAACCATTTTTTAACCTTCTATTCTCCACAAGGCCTTAGAAACACATTATTGGTTTCTTTCTCTGAATTTATACCTGGCGATCTTAGGTCTTTCATGTGTTGTACTATGAAATTTCTCTCTTTTTCAGTCTCAATTTCCGCCAACTTTGCATTCAGATCATAACAATGATGCTGCAACCAAACCAACAAGACCATATTGAATTATTATTAAAAAAAAAAGATTCAATAAAAAACAGAATTGTGTCTGTAACAACTACTTATATAACATTAAATGTTTTGGTCAAAGTTATAGGTTTGTTCGAAAAGTTCGTGGACTTATACTGTCATAACTTTTTTACTAAACGTCATATCGTATCCAAATTTAGTAGCAATGTTTCAACAATAAATTCCAATGAAATGTATTAAGAATTTTAAAAATATTTTGATTTATTTAAAACTTATTTAGATTTATTAAAATTACGAAAATCAAATCCGGAGCGTTGTTTACGGTTAATACACTACATAATGTTTGTAGTCATATTTTCTGTAAAATTGCGCAATAAACGGGAAAATTCTAGACGTCCAAATTAAGAATTGTTATATCGTTTCATATTCTAAATTATGACTTAATATTTTGCTTCATTGAAAAGAAAAAGGGCAAAAAAAAAGGAGCACAAGTTAACGAAACAATTTTTGTTGTATTCTGGAAAAATCCAGAAAAACTCTCAAAATGCTGAAGGAAGCACGTAATATGTCCAAAAATCGAGCCATGCATGTGTGTGTACTTTGCACAGGCGGTATTTGATTGATACTGTGTATCAGAAGAGACGATCTGTGAGGTAAAAAAGTGATGAAAAACTTTTAAAAACGTTAGTAAGGTCATGGTAAGAGTTAGGCGCTTCACAGTTGCTTATCTTGTGAAAGCACGGTCACGCAGTAAAAAAATATAACATTGGTAAACAAAATTATGCTACAGTAACTGAAACAATTGTTAGGGAAATAAATTTCAAATGACAGAGAAACGTTTTTTCAATGAGTGCACTGGTATTGGACCATACTGTAAAATATACAGGGAGAGTATATTTGAGAACCTCATGATGTTATGTTTTTGACGTTACAATGTTGTTGAGTTTGCTCCGCGGTCACAAAACATGTTGATTTTTAAAATTAAATAACATGACTTCTATTAAAGCACACGGAATGAAACCTCACACATCAACAAAATAAATATTTTTACATATGATAATGAGCTCATTTTAAATTTCTTAAAGTACATGCATAACGAAGATTGACATGGTCCGCGAACTTTCCGAACAACTCTCGTAGGTGTTGTTTTTAAACTCCTTCCGTATACTTTTCAAGTCTATATTTACATACGAAACTGAAAGGTCAACTTCTGATACTTTTAGGAATTAAAAAAAATTATAATGCAGTGGATTAGAGCATCGAGCTATTGGGGTATTCATCATCTAATACCAACAACCATCTTTAATCATGGTCTTAAGAACTGACCATCGCTGATGGCATAGTTGTTACTGTATGGATCACCACATAGCAAGAAGGACCAAAGGACACCCAACCATCCGGACAAGACTTATTTCCTGTGGTACCGGAAACTGTTCAAGTAGAAATAATATTCAGTCTTTGTCAGTTATTTTTACATCTGCCAATTGCATTTTTTTTTTTGGCCAAAAAAAAAAAATATATTAGTATCTTAATGTCTTCAAAACTTGATCTACATCTGTATGTTCAAAGATTTATAATGGCGAAACCAGTGCTCTCTCTCACCGTCAATCTTGTCACCTTTCCGGGATACTTTGGTTTTATATGCTTCCTCAAGGTGGTAAATAAGATCCTCGTAAGAGTTTTCCAGCCTATGGACCCTGTTGGTCTGTTCTTCATTCAAACTCTTGACATAGTCCTCATAGAATGTTTTAAGTCTTTGATATCTGTTATCACACTCAGACTTCACTATCTGTAGAGCCATCTGGTTTGTTTTTTCTGACTGTGTAAGAACCATTTGCATCTTCTCGTCCACCCTCTGGAGACGTCTATCGTACCAGTATGGAACCACCACAATGGCCACCACCACCACAAACATGACAGCGTCGCGGCCAAAGCCATTTCCCTGTGCCTCTGGCATTCTTAGTCAAAGCACTGATACGACAGTCCTGAGCATTGAGTACTTAGGTAAAAGATACATTTCAACAAGCTATACTTTCGATTTCGACAAATTCCCCAAATGCCTATAAAAGAGTATGACTGTTTTAAATTTAAATTTCGTGTGCGCTAAATTTGTAATGGCTTTTTTTAAAAAGCACACTATTGCTCCCCTAGGTCCTACTATACGTTGAAAGAATTTGGAAAAGAGCCATCAATGCATTTTAATACAGTAATGCAGATCATGAAATAATATTTTGCTGTGAGCATTATAATCAATCCATCTGCGTCTCAGTATTCAGAGCGTACAAACGAACTCTGGCGGAAGTTTGTTCACTATCACTATTCATCACTATTCATATTTTAAAATTTCAGATTCAAGTTTTGAATAAAAGATTTTTAAAAGTTTTATATTGTTTGTTTTAAATTGTCTTGATTGTTCTTAATACGTTTCAATTTCTTTTCCTGTTTCATCAGATATTTAATTTTATAAGTTATTTAGCAAATAGTCCAAAATAAGACTGTTTGATTAAGATATACGAAATCCGGATATTAATTACAGTACCAAAAAATTGCGAGTAAACAAAACAGAAAAGTTGGTAGAACTGATAGAGAACATGAGGCGAACAAGGCGAGGAAATGTCAATAGCATCCAGTGTATAATATTCAAATTCAATTTGGGAACTAAGCATTTATAGCAAAGTTCTTATTATTGCAGGCACGTAATTTTTCTTCCAAACATAACCGTATAGTCAAATCAGGGTAATGAGGAAAAAAAGTTGGAAAAGTCTTTTGCTTGTCCAAGTTTTTTTTTTTTTTTTCCAGGTAAATTTCACTTTGGGAGGGGGGCTGTCAACCCACCCCCTTTTTTGTAGAACGATACTTCGTGCCTCACAGCCTGTATTGAAAGGCATGAAATTATGACAAACAAAACTTCTCTTTTTGTTTATTGTTTTTTTTTTCTTCTTAAGAACTGACTAGACCACAAATCTCGTAACAGGTACTGGCATTTAAATCTTTTGTAATATGACCTTTGAATAACTGGGCTTAAATATTTCTGGGAAAGATATGAATGTTGTCAGTGTCATAAAAATATATTTTAAGGTAAAGTGCGTCCTTACCCCTCGTTTTTTGTTAACCATGTATTTTTACGCTTATTTTAAAGACATACATACTTTCAAAAAATGGAGCTAAAACCCATCCATATGAAAAAATATTTCAAAGTATGAAGAAATGATCATTTTTGTCCTCTTTGCTGTATGCATGCTATTTCATAGACTAATTATTTCAACACTTGTGAGAGAGTAGCAAATTGTGGAGATTCTATATAATGTATATACATGTACATTACTGTTAGCTAAAATATGAAGGAAACTTTTGTTGTGATTGAGATTTAATTCTGTCTAACCATTGGGGGTTTTCCTTATCTTATTCGCCCATCTTCTTTGTTTTGCTTTAAAATTTTGATGCTTTGCATCGATATAATCTTGCTCAAAGTGAAATGCATTTTAAATACTGGAACTTACAGTGTAGTAAGGCTATATTGGTTACAAGTTTTCTGTGATGGAGCAAACTTAGACCTAATATATATAAAGAAGATTTTAATAATGTAAGGGGAGGGATTACACCACGTAAAATTTAAATTGGAACGGATAGGAACAAGTTATATCTCTTCGTGCAGCAAAATTTCATCTGGTAACAGAATAACTCAGCTACACATGTTTATTATATGATTGAATAATTATAAGCTCTCTGATTAGCTGAGATCCAACATTGTAGATAAATACATATAGGTTATGTTCACCTGCACGCGATCATCCGGGTGACAATAAGGATTTCTTTCTTCTACATTGGACTAAAAGTAGATGAAGAACTTCCAAATTGATACAGATATTTCTGGAAAATTATTTCACTTGCACCTGACTTACACTCAGGTGAACATAACATTCAAGTACATAGAATCGGCCGGGAGGATGCAGGGGGCCTGCACCCTCCCCACACTATTTTCTGAACATAAATTTTTACCATTTATTTAATATGAAAATGTTCATTAAAAGCCCCTCCCCCCCGAAATAAAATTAGGAGTTTTGACTTTTGAGTATTCTCTTTAGTGGGGGGAGGGGAACACAAGAGATTTTTTTAGGTAAGTTTTCAATTGTTTCTTTATAATGTTCCCACTTTCAGAATCAATCCTACATGGTTAACATTTTTTTTTTTACAACCACTTAAAATAGAGTGAAGAATTCCAAATTAACGCAACTGTTTATTTTTATTTTAACACCTCTTCCCTCATTGCGTTTGACTAGGACTTCAGCATATTTAAACAAGTAAGATGACATGGGTTGCTTAAAGTTTCTATCATTTAATTATCGAATCATATAATATTTGACAATTAATACTGTTTTTTTCAGTTGATACGATGATTTAACGACCTTCGAAATACAATATTCGGGCTCGGTGAATATTGTACTCCTCAGGTGGCTAAATCATCCTATTAATCTCAAAAATAACAATAATTGTATAATATCAGCTATTCTCTAGTACGCATAATATCAGCTATTCTCTGGTACGTTCAATCCATCGGAAGAATATCATTTTCGTCATTTGTTTTTTTTTTTTCTTTCTTTTTTTTTTATTTGATTAAAATTTATAATCCATGGATACGCATATACTGGTTAGTATATTGATGTATAGTCGACACAGGAACTGGTATATCTACTGAGGCTGAGGCTCTTGATAGTCAATGGAGATGAACTTAGGGTGATACTTGCAACATGAAAAAAGAGAATTGAAACTGGACTAATTGTGAGTGTGTTTTTGCGATGATTGCAGATGGCATGTTACAAGTATGAAGCGGATGATTTATTTTCGAATATTATGACAATCTTCCCATACGAAAGGCACAAAATTAAATGAACATGATAATTTATGGCATCAATAAAATATATTACGGTTTATCCATAGAACAAATAATCATTACACGGATGTCAGATGCCACCAAGTTTTTAAAAAAGTAATAATAGTAAATAGAAGAAGGTAATAAAAAAAATACTGTAACCAAAATATGAACTTATTAAGTGTTGAAAACTATTTGAGAGAATAGTCTTGCTAGTTATTGTCAAACAAAATAAAACATTTTCTGATATCGATATGCAATATTTTCATTTAGTTGTATTGTAAGCTTTGCACATCATGTAAAAAAAAGTTCATGAAATATATTTAATTCTTTACGTCAATAATCATTTTTTGGAAAACAGTCAATGAATGACAGTTCTTTTTTTGAAAAGCAGTTGATTACACACAGGGCAAGAGTGGATCATGCAGCGGGGTTCGTCCCCCCCCCCCCCCATCTCCACCTAAGATTCCCAGTGTCATTATATTTACATAGTAAAAATAGGCTGAAAATGACTCTAGACCTTTCCCACCTCAGGGAAAAGTAGACACCTAGCTCCTAAAATCTTTGTTTAAATGGCGTATATAAGTTGTTTTCTCCTTGAGGCTATACTTACTGGTAACAAAATGAGTAAGCAGGCATTTTTTTTAATTAAGCAGGCAAATAAAAGGGCAGATAGACCACAGACTGCGATTTCGCTGTACTGTCGTGAACTGTATGGTCGCTGATTGTTTTTTATTGATTATCTCTGGTCCATCTTTATATGAACACGAAGTAAAATAGATTAACATTCTGATTTATTTTAAACTCCCAAATAGTTGTTCAGAAAACTCTATCAATTCTTAATCGGTCCTGTATTGATTTACGAATAAGGTGTTGGCTTACAAAAGACATGTATGGTTTAGATGGTCTCTAGCATTGTATTCATTTCTAACCAAACATTATTATATAGAGTCTATGAATTTTAAAAGCCTTTAAATAGATCAAATGTCCGGGTCTTTTTCCACAACAGGCATTTAATGAAATGGACCTGTATTTAATCTATATGTGCAGCTCGACAAAGTCAAGGGGTGGATCAGAGATTCTGTTCAGATGTTAAATGATTGTTTACTGTCTTGATGCAACATTCGCAGAATCTATCACGTTCATTGAAAACTGCATAGGTTCGTTATAGTTCATTCCCCACCCCTCGGATTTGTAAGTGGGACCAATCCTCTCCATTAATTCTTGATTTTTTTTTTATATAAGTCGTATAAATATCTAAATACTAGTATTTAGCTAGTATACACGTATTTTGGAAAGTGATTCAGAAGAGCTGACATTATTCAAATCTATTCTTAAAAACTTGAATCCAAAAGTGGTTAAACTTAATTAAAAAGAGTACACTGTTTGATTAATATTTCACTAATTGCCTGACATCTCATTACTTTATCCGCAATTTTTACGTAATATTTACTGAAAGACTAAGTCTTAGAAACTGATTGTAGCTTTTTTTTTTTTTTTTTTTTTTTTTTTTTTTTGGTCTGCACAAGTACTTTAACCTGATGTTTCGAAGGAAATAGTCTAAAAGCGTCAATCTGAATAAAACATTTAAACAATAAAAAGCTCTCTTTTTATATTTGCTAAAATTGCGTGTCGGACAATTTTCAGACTTTAACTGTTTTAACATGTTTTTTCGTCAGGTTCGAAAGAAGACCCAATCATTTCTTTTATGTCCTGATCAAGGAGGTGAAAAATACACGTATACCAACAGTTTTACACACAACTTCAACTCTTTAAGTCAATATTTATACTTTATAACTACCTTAAAATCTTTGTTACGTTTTATAAAAAGTAAAGTAATAAGATTAAATTTTCATTGATTAAAAGATAGTTTTATTTATTAGCGTTAAAGATCGGATAACATTTAAACCAAATTTTTAACCCATGCCTTACAAACCATAGACACCCATCCTCGGGTATAAGTGATGACCTATTAAAATTCCACAACGGTGCAAATATTGAGGAATTTTTTCTCTTAATATTACAAATTGTAATATCTCTAGTTTTAGACTTTATGTAACGTTACAACTCTTATCAAAAAAGTTTTCCACCTGTTATGCAGGTGCGTGCTGGAAATGACATAATGCTACACACCGTCTCCTCTTGGCATGTTATAAATGCTCGAATACAACATACTTTAAAGCAGTTTCTTTGTTAATTTTATAAAATATTTGTAAATAGAACAACAGAGATTTCGATTCACTTTAATTGTTTTTTCTTCCCAGAATTTGTCCTGGTGTTTACATTATTTTTTCCCTAGATCACAAGGATGAAATATATAAACGAACATCAATTTTCAAGTGTTCTTATAGCCACCTATTGGTAGTAGTTCCCACTTCTAAACGTTTACCAGCAATTTCAGGCAAAAGTCCAGAAAATGAATGTTTTTTGTTCGAAGATTTCTCCTTTCCACCCAGACTAGAGTAGCTTTGGACCCCCTCTGACGGGGAATGTTCCGAGAGGGAGACTGGATTATTCTCACACACAGAGGGGGGAGCAGAGTGAGTGACCTTATTGCTTCCTCCCGTTGTCCGTCTCTGGCTTTTATTGCCAGTAAGAGTATTAAACAATGATTGTTTGGTTGTTTCTATTGCCATTTTGTAAGAGTTAAGAGCTTTTTCGAGATCTGGACTAGCAATGTGAAAATTGTCAGGAATAGACGGAACACTGATTGATGCCGCATCACTTCCAGTTGAATTTGTGTATCGTATTTGGTTGTTTTTTGATTTCTTAGACTCTGCGGCGATTAATCTCTGAGAGGGCGTCACTCTTTCCACAGGCTTTAACTCGCCCCTTTCCATCGGTTTTAGCTCCGCTCTTTCAAGCTGTTTTAACTCTCCTCTATCCGACTTCATCTCCCCTCTTCGAGCCACAGATCTTACTGTCATTGTTTCTGCCGCGTTTTGTCCATCTTTCTTTTTACTCGGTGAATTTCTTGAAGACATGTCTCTACCTTTCGTCTGAAGCAAAAATTTTGATATGTCCGTGGCTTCATGTGATTTTCTTAGCTTAGAATCGCGTCTCAATTCTTCATTTAGAACAGTTATTCTGGAAGAGATTTTATCGATGTTCAAGTCACTAGAGGCTTTGTTTAACGTATCTGAATTATTGTTCGTTTCGTGTTTGCAGTCACTAACGTACTCTCGATTAGATTTCGGTGCCTCATGCTGCACACTAGGAACACGGATATTCTCAACAACATTTTCTACTTTGTTGTCGGTTGGTGTTTTACTTGTAGTATCTTGCACTTTTTCTAACACAACCGATTGCTGTCGACGGTTGTGGTTGTGAAACTTTACTTCCAAGTCCCTTCTCAAGTTTCGCTTCATCTCTTTATTGTGTCTTTTATTTTGCCAGTGCATAGAAACAATCTCCGGGTGTTTTTTATGAACTGTGTACCACTCTCGTCTGTCCCGATTATCAAGTATCTTAACCGTCCTGTAATAGGCATTATTTGTGACATAACGGTACGTCCCCTGTTCTACGTTGGCTTTCCAGCCTGGAACTGGGAACGTGTCAAAATCTTCACCGACACATTTGACGGATACGTTACTATCAGATTCCTCAACTTTATTAACCTCACGATTCTGACGTCTAATGACGTTGGAGACAGCTGAGGTTGGAACATACCGCGGGAACGGTACTGTATTCTTCCAGGCACTGACAGCCTCATTCCAGTCGCTATGTGCAGTTTTTTTCTGTGCTGTATTATCAAGAGGGTTACACCTATCACTTTGTTCAATCAGCGCATTCGTGTAGTTTCTGTCATTATCATAATGATTGTCATACGAATCGGATTCAGAGTAAAAATCTTTGAAAATGTTTACAAATGTCATCTTCTTGAGACTCCCTGTAAAAAAGTAAATGGAACCATTAAAATTGAACCCAGACTCTGGTCGATAGTAATGTAAACACTTTCTATGACTGCTCTCTCGATCATCTTTGAAAACTTGCGCAAGAGAATTTAATTAGCTCAGTGGTGTGTATTGATTAACATGCCACCGATCTTCAGTAAGCTCAGAATTTGACACCTATAGATTTAAATCTTTTAAGCAGTTACTAATCTGTGTAACATTGACATGAAATTTCCTGTCGTGTAAATCAAGAATCGAGGTCTTTGAAATTAGTAATGATTATTTTGTAACACAGTAATTAAAATTATTTTCCACACTGTAGTTTATGTTTCGAAATGGAAGAAATCAATCTTTATCAGTACACAGTGTGAACCAGTCTTAACATACCACGTTCATTCTTACCTCATTACTTGGAATCAAAACCGTATCATGCCCTCACAAATTTATAATCCTATCAAATTAAAATTCGGTGGCATCTCGGTGCCAATTCATCGCAAATAAAAACCGACACTAATTCGATGTACAGAAGGAAGAACTTTTCGTATACTAACTGCATCCACAAATAATCAATTTGTAAATGTTTGAACACTTTTCATGATTTGTTTTCATCTGTATTTTTTATGTATGGTATGTACAACTGTCTTTTCGTGGGCGTTCGCACCATAGAGGAGCGAACACGCACTATCGCTACCTTGATTCGTTTTCGAATAATTTATTTAATAAATTTAAATGTCCTATCTTTAAAAAGAAAAGGCACTATGAAGCGCTTGACCTCACCGTGGCAACTAAAAATACACTGTACCTTTTAAACTGGTCCTCAACGTAATATTACGTTCAACGCTTATATCAATGAAAAAGAGTATTCTTGTTGTTTAAGGATGAATTAAATATGAACTGTTCATATCCAAACAAAAAAAATAATATATCTGCTCAGTCTTTTTTCAGATAAAGATGTAAGTGTAGCAAATTGAAAAATTAAATGATGATAATGATATAAGGGGCATAAGAAAAACAGGAAATGTATCTCACACATGCGCAGATAAATTTACCGCCGATCTTTCTCAAGCACTGAAGCTCGAGAAAAACAAGGAAAGAAACCATGATTCGCCACAAACTTAGAAAGGGTATTGTTCGATCTTCGGTGTTTTTAGCCAGTCAGCATTGGCAGTATTCGGGAAACGGTTTTCGTCGTATAAACCAGGTATATTCGAATTTCATTTTTTTGGCGTAAATGTGACTTTCATTATTTTCACCTTCGGGTAGTCTATCTCGATTTCGGTATTTCTTTTGCAGTGTCTTTCAGTAAATTATAAAAACATTTTTTTTTATGAATCTCAAAGAAATTCGATTTTATGGTTTTTGAATTCATATGTGACCAGAATTACGATTACAAAAGTGCGCAGAACTTGGCTGATTGTTTTCAACTTTCTGTTGCCCTGTAAAATGCAACCAAAAGTTAGTGTAAGGAAGGCTTCTGTCATTCATATCTGATTTTTAAATCAGTTCAAAGAAAATTGTGCAAGAAGGGGAATGAGGATTTTGCCCCTCGCTAACCTTTTTGCCAGAAGTTGATTCACCCTGAGTGGTTTCAACCAAATGTAATGTTCAAATCATGGTCCCCAGGGGTAGGGTGGGATCACAATAGGGGATCAAAGTTTTGCATTGAAATACATCAGAAAAATCTTGAGAACAATCTGTGAAAGCTTCCAATTTAATGTTTAAGAACCACAATAGAGCCATTAATTTGCAAACATTCCCAAGTTGTTGGATTCCCTTTTTAAGCCCATGGGTTAGAATTGGCTAAAATCAGGATTACATTTTACATAAGGCATGTATTCAGGAAAAGAATTTTCTTCACAACTTCAAGATCATGTTTACAGTTAATGATATTGAAGCATCCCATGTGAGGATTCAGAGACCCTTTAGAGTTCAGTCGGTACCATAGTATTGGGTCAAAATCTTTTCATAGGAATACACCTGTTATTTTCTTTAAAATCTTCTGAAGAACAGCAGGACTTAAGTTACTCAGGCAAGCTTGTGGCCCACAGACATCTTGTGTTTATATTGGACTTTTGTTAGAAGCACTGACTTTTACAGTCGATGGCTTACTTTGGCATTTATACCTGCCTAATGTACAGAGGCACAGAATTGATAATAGACAAGAAAACCTTAATAAGTGGTTATAGGTAGGTGTTAAGGGCACAAACACAAATTACCGGTATGCAATCAATGCAAGAGATGATGGGAAGCAGAATTACGTAAATTATGGTACCTTATTCGGGAGCGATAGTATCTTCTTTCAATCTCATTTTCTGAAGGGATCAAATAAGGTTGAAAAACATTCCGGAAAGAAAACTAAGCAAGAGTTTGTCAACATGGGAAGAGAGGGAGTTGAGGGAAGGGTGGTTGCCATTCCCTTCCTAGTAAACATATTTACATGCTTTGAAATGGGCCATTACTATTGTTTAATTAACTGTTAAGCTTAATATTTATTTCGCAAAAAAGAGCTTCCATATATTGTCCTAGTGTAAAAGAAAGCAGTCATTTGTAAAAGTCAGCTCTTCTCGCAAAAGTCCATTTTGAAGTCAGGGAAAAGGAGTAGTTAAAATAGTTTAACAGTGTCTCAAGATAGGCCACACCACAGGTAGAATGCATCTCAATTAGTTGCTCAGTTTGACAGTAAAAATGAAGGCATTGAAAATTATTATAATAAAACTTTTTGAGCTTGTACATACCTTCCACACACAAACAAAAAGACCATATAAAATATAAATTCAACACAATTTCTCAACTTTTTTTCTCACTTAAAATTTATCTACCATATTGACATTAGGAATTCTCTGACTTATTTGTATATTAAGTATATGTGTAGATTTTCATTATTTCGCCTCGGAGCTTTAAAAAGATTACAAACAGGCGGTACTTTTTCAAAAATAGGAGGTACCTTGTGGAAGTGATTAGTTAATATGTTATCAATTTTTTTTCTCCAACCATTATTCTGGATGGTCATGATTTCAGCTGAGTGAAAGTACTGGGTATCTGCACTTTTTGAAAGGCATGTTATCTGCATCTGTTTATTTGGCTACTTTGCCAACACACAGAATGAATAAACCAGGTTTGTGGGAAAATATAATTTTAACAATAGAACATTCTGTCTAGGGAAAGGAGCTCCTATTCTTCTAGGTTCAAAATTATCAGGGTTGGACACCTGCATTTGAATGTCAAATATACAGTATGACATAAATACAACTTGGAGCCAAATAATACAATTAAAAGAATAAAATTCAGGTACTAAAGATATAACATTTACATTTAATGGATTTTTTTAATATAATTTTGCAAATTCAAAAGAAAGTCTACACGATTTTGTTAAAACTAGAGAAAAAAATATGCAAATTAGGGTTTAGGCAACATTATATAGAAGAAACTACACTAAAATTATAAGTGAATTTAATGTGTAATATTACAAAATATTTTAAAGCTACCAGAACAGATTGTGGAAGACATTGGAGATGGATCAGGTGTACCAGAAGTTATTGTAGAGTTGGACCAGTACAGCACACAAATGAATGGAGAAGATGATGTGTGCATGGAAAATCTAAAGGTAATTTTCAGACTAAGATCAATATAATGTATTGTACATGTATTTGTAATTCACAGTTTACAATAGATAAATAAAGCTGTCACATAAATAATTGAAGATAATAATCCTTCATTTCCTCAATAAAATTATCAGTTGAAAAATATTATATTTTAAATGCTACAAATTTTTTAAACAGACATTGCTGGGAAATTTGATGAATTTTGAGCCACGAAGAAGTCAGGACGATGCAACAGCAGATGAGGAACAAAATAAATATGCAGCTCAGTTTCTGCAGCATGGAGGAGTGGAGGTAATGCTTCAAAATTATTAAAAAAAAAAAAATTAAATAACTTCTATGTTTTGAATGTCTCCTTAATCAGGTATTGTTTTTTAGTATTTTACATTATTCCTTTTGTAAATTATAGGTATTGATAAGGATTCTTATGTTCAACACACTCTTCCCTCAGTCAAGCAAGAAGCCTAAAGGTGAGATGGAATAGGATTTATTTAATAAGCTTCCTGTTAATTTTTCTTTGTTCTGAGGAGCTTTTAGCCAACATATGATAGACTCTATGAACATGCTCTCAATAGGTGGTTTAACAAGGGCTGTTCAGAAATTATTGAGGCATTTAACTCCATAAAAGAAAAAGATCAATTCAAGAAAATCACCCACATTTTATCAAGATCAAACAAAATAAACATGCAAAGTTTCTAGTTAATAGCATCATTAGATAAGTCCCAGTAAAATTTTAAACTTGCATATGTCCCCTGATCTGGAGCCGTTCATAGAAATAATTGCTTCACCATATTAACATCAAATTTAGCCATATTTTTTTTTTCACATTGAAAGGATCAAGAAGTGGTTACCTTTCTTTTTTCATTTAATAACATTCTAGTTATCAAACTCTCTCTTCATTAAAAATTTGTGTGTTGTTTATACCCCAATGTCAGATTGTCAATTATAGTTTGAATGGCATCATGCTGTATAGACTTTATAGCATCACTGATGTTATTTAGTATAATTTAATAATAGATGGTTATTCTCTCTGGTTGAATGATTTGTCAGAAAAAATTTATGCCAGTGTTAAAATAAAGCCATAGACATGTTTCCTTGGTATAGTTTTAGTTATAGCAGGTCCTTATCTGGACAGTTCTCCTCTGCGTTGCAAAATTTTAGATAAACCCTATGCTTCGCCTTGTCGTCATAATCAGATTTCTATATTGTGATAAAATTTTTCATGATTTCCATATCTTTGATAAAAATTCTATCAGACTTGCACAAAGTGAAGTCAAAATAAAATTGAAAAATTAAATACATAATTTAAATAGTTTTCCTGTTTACTATGGGTCCACAGGAATTTAGTACATAGTACTCATGATAGTTTCTGATTTTGTGACTACGTCATATACCCCGACCATAGACACATTCATATATCATTGAAAAGAAAAAAATATATCTTGCTTTTATTTATTGTTTGGGTTTGTTAAACTGTGTACAGTAAAACTCAGTTTTTGCGAAGTCCTGGGGACCTGTGAATTTAATTCGCTATATCTGTAATTCATTATATCCGTATCTACAGGACTCGAAATCAGTTCGTATCCGTAAATTCGTTATATCAGAGTTTGTTATAACCATAAAATTTTACAAAGAATTGTTAAGAATTTTGCCAGGGACCCTGAAAAACTTCGCTATGTCCATGAATTTGCTATATCTGTGTTCATACTAAACGAGTTTTACTGTATATGACAATTTTCACCTAAGTAATTTTTGAACAGCCTTCGTATGGTGTCTGATTATAATTACTGAAACCATTTTATGCTAAATCAAAATTCTCTTGCTTTGTTTTATTAGTAGGGTATTGTGAATCAGAGGTGGTTCTGAGGATAAAAAGTTTGGTTCTGGAAATCCTGACCAAGTTTCATGTCACTGTAAGTATATTGTTACCTACACACTGCTTTAAAGGCAGAGATTCTAAGCACTGCCTTCAAAAATACATGGTCTGTGTACCCCTGTCAATCAAGTGCATTAAGGTACATCATTGGGTGCTAGAACTGGATTGACATTTACTTACTAATCCCTGTATATACACTGTACACCTTGTTTGGCACTCATGGTGATCTTCAAATTAAATTTTGATCTTTTGATATTTACCACACATGGTATAAAAAATAGAGAAGCTCTATTACTATGGAATTTATAGCTTGATATATTTACACAACTTTAGTATTTGAAATAATTATGATGTTCTTTGTAATATATATCAAAATTTGGTATAACTCTTTTTCAAAGGTCAACAGTTACTTTAATTAAATGGGTGGGAATGCTTTGACACACATCCAATTACAGTACAGGCAACGCGGATCCCGTATTTCCCGCGCCCCATCGCGGTACATAGATAGTTTGTCTAATTCTACGATCGAGTTTCTGAAAAAACACGGAAACAACCACAGCCACAGACACTATTGTACTAAACCAACTTACTGCTTCCAAGACATTTATTTCTACCTTATTTATAAGATCGCCATATTGCTTCACGATGTAAGATTACGCAATCTGACAGTATTGCAGGTATCTCGATAGGGTAATTATCAAATGTGTGCAAAACGGGAACACACCTTAGCTATAGTTACACAGACACCTGAAAACTCGTAGCTTATCTCTCTAACACATTTGTCTTTGAATATAATTAAGTTTATTTTTGTGTTGTATGTTCAAATTATTTTAGGGCCCAAAATCAGCCAATAAAAAAGGGTTTTTCCGATTTGACGATGCGTGTAAATGAAAATATTGATGAGCATGATCATATAATTTCAAAAAGAAAGAAAATGGAAAAACTGTCTATGAAATTATCCTGAATATATAGGATGTAATGATTTTATTAACAACAATAACGAAAAAGAGATCATGTGGATATTACTTCTACAGTCTTACATGTTTAGCGCATAGTATCAGCAGTTAATGGTTCCTAAATGTACGCGTGTTTAATACTGTTACCATCTCTACCTATCATCGTTTTTCATTCTAATATTTATATCAGATATGTAAATATACAAAGGCATAATTTTTTTTAAGAAACCAAAGACTGTGATCGAATCTGGCAGAAAAAATAAACGCATTAGCTACATGTACAGTCCCTGAAACGTTCTACTTTCCCATTTTTCCGTTCGCTCACCGTTCGTTCACCGTTCGTTCAGCGTGCGTTCACCGTGCGTTCACCGTTCGCTCTCCGTTCACAGTTTTGCGTTCAGCGTTCACCGTGCGCTCGCGTTCACCGTTCACAAAGCGTTCAGCGTTCGCTCTTCGTTCGTTCACTTTGCGTTCACCTTGCGTTCAGCGTTCACTTATCGTTCAGTCTTTATTGTCATTCGGAACTCCGAAGTGAATGGACTTATCTTTTTTTAAGTAAGGATTTACAAATTTAATAATTAATATATCGTGTTCAAAGAAAAATTATCTACAATATTTATTTTTATTATTCTAACTTAGCTGTTAGGTTATTTATTAAATTTATCTGGAAAATAAATGGTTTTATAAGTACATGCATGTACCTATGTTGAACGGTGCTGAAAAATTAAGTTTAAATACGGGCAATATACAGATGCTTCAAGCACTGCAACATTTTGTTGTTATGCTAAAGACGCCAAATCGTTAGTGGATAGATAATAAGCGAAGTCAATTAATTTACCAACTTCAACAGAAATACGAAAATATTTATTTCTAACACATTTTTTTTTCAAATAATACAGAAATACATGTTAGAACTAATTCTGAGGATCATAAACAGTACTGGAGCTATCCAGTTAATTAAAAATCTTTAGAGGGAATTAAATTCATAGTGTGGTTTGAAAAAAAAAATGTTTAAAATGTAATATATTATAGAATTTTTTTTCTACTTTACAAATATAAAGTCTTTAATTAGAGAGAGAGAGATGCCTTTATAACATGATTATCATTAATATAACCAAAGTGATTCTCCAGTAATGATATTTTTCACCGTAACTTTGTTTGCCATTAGATATAATTAAGAGCCCCCCCCCCCCTTTCCCGTAAATCTGTTACTTAGTTAGTATTTCCAGTATATTTTAATTAACATTTAAATAGAAGTTAATGTGTTTTGTAGCACAAAAATTTCAGTCTCAAAACAAACATGCATCTAAACAAAGTCATTAAACAATAGTCAAAATATACATATACCGGCGGTGATATTTTAAATTGGCAGGGAGTAGGTTTCAAATTCAAGCGCCTTAATCATTCCAAGTGTTTATTCCCAATGTATTTTATTCATTTATTATTATTTTTTTTTTTAGAAATGTTGGAATCAGATCTAAAAATGATAAGAAAAAATGTTAAAACTTCTTGGAAATACTTAACAGTTTGCCTTCGGTGTGACGAGACTTTCACACCTGCACAGTGTCCAATGATTTTGATTGACAGGTCAAGCACGTGGACTTCGTGTGAACTTGAAGCAGGAAAATAAAAACCGATTATGACTGTAACACAAATAGGTTTGGTAATAAAAATAGTTTTTTCATTGCCTGGTATATTAGAAAATAATGAAGAAATTTTATTTGATATAGGTACAAACATTTGAGAAAGGGGGGGGGTAAAACCGAATCTCTCTCTCTCTCTCTCTCTCTCTCTCATTTGTCTGTTTTATAAAAACTATGACAGCATATTACTTAAATATGAAGTTGTGAAAATTTAATATATAACAAATAATATGAATGCCTCTTTGTGTCATCTTGTCCGAGTATAATCACGGTCGGGAAACATGTAGAAGTCTGCTCAATAAATCATCATAAAAAATAAAACTGACTGATAAATATATTATTGCATTGAAATTTTAAAATACGGGTGTATTTATGCAATACGTCCTCATACCTTTGTAAAAAAAATTTTTTTTCTCATTATTTTACACGGAATCGTCTTGGCACGGAAATAAATGTATGGTTGTTACAACCGTTGTATTTCATTCTATAAGTCCGTAGTTTGCTTTTTAAATTCCACATTATTTGTAATGATTTTATATATCAAATAAGAATAAACATATTTATTTTACAACTAGATTAATTTTATCTTTTATACTACAGCGTTCGGTAACAATTACAATGTTTTACAGATATAAAAATCGTGTTATTAAAAAGTTGAATTTAAACGTCGTACATATGCGCAGAAAATATTGTTAGAAACTTAAATTAATAATTTTACTCAATGTGCATGTATCGTATTTCTTAGGATACTTTTCATTGATTTGTTTATTTATTTATTATTCATTTATTTTTTGGCACCAGGCATACATACAATAGAATAGTTTCAATGTAAGGAACAGATCAGAGGCATTCCGAACAAATCGTTCATTTTGCGTTCACCGTTCACTTTGCGTTCGCGTTTGCGCTCCGTTCGCGTTCTGCGTTCGCTCACCGTTCACACATCGTTCACCAAGTTGCGTTCAGCGTTCACACTTCATTCACTCACCGTTCGTTCACCGTTCGCTCACCGTTCAAGTGGGAAAGTAGAACGTTTCAGGGACTGTAACTGGTAACGCAACTGCAGGGGCTAATCGTGGACAATTAAGAAACGATGGCATTTTTAAAAAAAAAAATAATGCTACTGTTATAAGGTGGATTATTTAGCAATTTCAAGATAATTTATGTTTGAATTATTGATTTTAAATAAATAATACAAGGTTAATGAGCTGATGATCATATTTCATCCAATTTTACCGCAAGTACTGGCTATTATATACGCCTTTTTTTTTTAATTTGAGAAATAATAAATTATGAGTGACTATTGATAAAAAAAAAAAAACCATAGGAAATAAAATAACTATTATACAACACTGAAAATTAAATCAAAAATTCATTTAATGATATTCAAGATATAATGTAGGCCATGATCTTTAATAAATTCCCCCCCCCCCCCCCCCCCCCCCCCCGATTCCTTATTTTTCCTCACGATTAAAAATCGACAACACTTTACAGGTAATAACTCTAAGCTGAAGAAAAACGGTAGCTGGCCCCGCCGCGGTGTAAACACAGTCGCAGGTAGTACCACGATCAAAACCCGCGACGGTGTAACGCGGAAAGGATTAACACACCGCTGAGGGGACGCGGTCTAATACGGGATCCGCGTTGCCTGTACTGTACATATTAATAAAAATTATTGAGATTAAACTTTATTTACAACTTTTTATTTCTTATTTAAAATCATCTCAAAATCCCAACACACTGGTAAAGTTTGACTTCTTGGGTATTCTCCTGTGTATAGGGATTGGGAGACAAACAACTACAGGTAGACTTCTAGCCCTCAAGGCATTCACACCTGTACAAAATAAGCCTCTCCCTCACCTGGAATTTACCACCTGGTAAAAAATCTCTGCCTTTAAGTTTCAAGCTATTTAAATATTTCTGGAAAGAGATTATGTAACTTTGCATATTTCAGGAGTGTTCTCCATTAATCTTGTAATTTTTTTTTTAATTTTTTCCCAAAACTTAATTTAGATCCTTTTGTACTTGTGCATATAATGATGTGCCATTTTACTTTTTCAAAATTTTGTTGCAGTCCATTGGGGAACAAGTCACTGCTATCCTGATGGCGGACGATGAGGTTCTAAATTATGTATTCACTCTGTTAGCACATCAGAAAACATTTATCAATGCCTGTCAGTTAATTGAGGACATGTTACAATCCAGGAGGGAAGTCCTAGATCTCCACAGAATCAGTAAGTCTTAATCAAAATCCTCCAGGAGGGAAGTTATGGATCTCAACAGAATCAATAAATCTAAATCAAAATCCTCCAGGAGATAGGCCCTAAATCACCACAGAATCAGTAAGTCTAAATCAAAATCCTCCAGGAGATAGGCCCTAATTCTCCACAGAGTCAGTAAGTCTAAATCAAAATCCTCCAGGAGATAGGCCCTAAATCTCCACAGAGTCAGTAAGTCTAAATCAAAATCCTCCAGGAGATAGGCCCTAAATCTCCACAGAATCAGTATGTGTAAATCAAAATCCCCCAGGAGATAGGCCCTAAATCTCCACAGAATCAGTATATTTAAACCAAAATTCCCCAGGAGATAGGTCCTAGATCTCCACAGAATCGGTAAGTCTAAATCAAAATCCTCCAGGAGGGAAGTCATAGATCTTCACAGAGTCAGTAAGTCTAAATCAAAATCCTCCAGGAGGGAAGTCATAGATCTCAACAGAATCAATAAGTCTAAATCAAAATCCCCCAGGAGATAGGTCCTAGATTTCCACAGAATTGGTAAGTCTAAATCAAAATCCTCCAGGAGGAAGTCCTAGATCTCCACAGAGTCAGTAAGTCTAAATCAAAATCCTCCAGGAGGGAAGTCCTAGATCTCCACAGAATCAGTAAGTCTAAATCAAAATCCTCCAGGAGGGAAGTCCTAGATCTCCACAGAATCAGTAAGTCTAAATCGAAGTCCTCAAGTAGGGAGGTCCTACATCTTAACAGAATAAGTCTGAATGACATCTGGAAGCTCTAAAGGGTAAATCTGTGAAAAAGGTACTTTTCTTTGTTGAAACTGTAGATTCCTCATTTTTACATGAGTTCTTTATATATTGGGAAATGACTAGATGAGGTGAAATCAAGACAACCTGAATTTGTGAAAGGACTTTACATTAGGAGTTTTTACATGTATTTCAGCAATATGAAATTTAATGTGGGTAATTTAATGTGTTATACAAGTGGTACTTGTCACGAAATTAAGTAATATTAAATTCATTGCGACAGTAATAATATCCAGAAAAAATAATACTAATTCAGGGCTCTCGCACCCATTTTTGGTACTGGGGCCGGGGCCAAAGGAATTGGGAAAAAACATTGTTTTTATAAAAATTGGGAAATTTTTACCAGTCATAATTTTAACTCTTAAAACAAGAGAAATCAAATAAACACAGAATAATCATAGAAACTGAAAACAAATCATCTTATTTATTCAAGGTAGATCTTAATTAGACATGTAATTGACTGTTCAGATGTTTAGAACTTTAAAATAAAATGTTTGTCTTTAGATGTCCTGAAATGCTCTAGGGCTCTGGTCAGAACTTTAAATGTTTGTCTTTGGATGTCCTGAAGTACTCCTGGGCAGGGTTTCAGTAACCACTAATTAGAATGAGATTCTGTTAATTGTAGAGCGACAGCCTGTTGTTTAAACAAAGTGTCTATTTTCTTACATTTGTCAGTTGTTTTAGTAGAAATCTTTTTTCTATAGTTTTAGCATTATGCGACGTGTTTGTGAATAAACAAGTCATACCTAAGAGAATTCGTAATTTACTATAGTTGACTTCCGCTTTCATATTAAACTGGTTCCAGCATATATACGAACTACTAGTTTACAACACGGAAGCGTTTCCTTCATATCTTCCCAGTGCTTTTACGACTGTCAAAGATATGCTTTTTTTTTTACATTAATAAATTTTAAGCAATCATACATTGGGAAATTTTACACTCAAATTTGGGCAAAAAGATGCCTTTTTCACGTTGGGAACGGGGCCGAATATCGGCCCCAATTAAAGAGAATCGAGAGCCCTGTAATTATAGAAAGGGTTTGTGGGACATGAATAAGTTGAATGTGCCATTCTAATTTCAGCATAAAGTTTGTAAATGGAGACAGATTTACATCATGCATGATTATATTCTCTTGTTGTGTTTAAAACTGTAGAAATTGTACTCATAATAATAATGTCTTTGTAGAGAATATTCGCCCTTTGATTCAGTCTTTGACTGACCAGCAGCTAGCCAACTTTTGTCGCATACTCGCTGTTGCTATATCAGATCTAGATATCTACGAAAACAAATCATCATGTAAGTATCCTCAATGTGACCAGAGAATTCTGTGTATTTGATTGCTTAGTTCAAGTTGCTTCATTTATGATCCTGTCATACTTGCAATGTTTATTTCAATGTTTGGGTTCTTCATTGTAGTATTTGCACAGAACAAACAGAAGAGAACAAAGGGATTTGTAAATGTCAGAGACATCAATCAAGGTAGCTTTTGTTTTAAAGAATTTGCAAAATGAGTTCTGAAATGTTTGAATACAATTGTTTTTGTATAGAATAAGTCTTGCTATGAATAATTTTTAATTCAGTAGAACCAGATGTACTTGCCTACATTTTCTACCTAGGATAGGATTTTATTCACTAAAATTCTGTATAAAGTAAATATTCATTTTCTACAGAGTTACTTCTAGGGATCCCTGAGCTGCTTCCACGACTTGTCAATTTAGCTGTATCAAGAGACTGTAAGTTACAGAGATCTTCAAAATAGGTTGTGTTTAAAATTGTATTAATGCAATTAATGAAAGGGGGGGGGGGGGTGTTCAGAGAAGCATGTATTTTCTTTGGCTGAGATACATGTAAAATGTTCAGGCAAAATACCAAGATGTGTCTTGTACATCATGTGACCGTTCTTGAACACTGACCTGTACATACTATGTTTACTGTACAGACACTCCAAGGTACAGAGGTATGGTCAGCGAGTTGGACTGTTGGATGGAGTGGATTGAGAACCAAATGGCTGAGGAAATGTATGATAGTCCGTCAATGGATGACCTAGAGGACTTTATTGGAGGTAAATAATGTTATGTACAAGTAACACTGACTTGTAAATATAGACTTTTTTCAGGGATTTTGACAAATGGAAGTAAAGGTCAATTTTCATCAGCTTTATCAGGAATTTAATCTTATATGAATTCATTTATAATGCGAAGATTAATGGTACCAAAAGTTGAAATACATGTACAGTACAATTCGTTTATTATCATGGTTTATTTGTCAGGCCAAAACTTTATAATAAGCGACTTTTATAATAACCATAGTCGGCTGAAATTCATGTCGGACGGCTGACGATACGACGTTTGTGTAAATTATTGGATATATTATACATCTTACGTTACATATAATTTCGATTTTTTAGGTTTATTTGAAATACAAGTTAACTGACATATCATTTCACAATATTTACTTACTGTTTCAACTTTTTATTATAAATAAATTCACTTAAATAAAGCTTAATACGCTTCAAACTCAATCTTCTAGATCCCTTGGCATCCATCTTGTTTATTTTGATCTACTTTCATTTTTAATTTATGGTCAATTCAAATTACCAATGTTTCGTTTCGTATTTTTTTTTTTGGTTTATTTTTTTGGTCACATATTAAATAAATTAACACAGCAACAAAGCATGCATTCAAATTGTTTCTTTTATTCATCCAAAGTAGACATAAAAAAATTACCTATTTACACTTAATGTCGCCGTATAATTAAAATTAATTGATACACTGATGAGCATATGCATTCAAAGCCGCTTGGACAGACTGGTGAAAGAGTTAATTTCACTTAATTATTTCTTAATTAATCGGGCAGTTTTGTAAATGTAATTAACTTTGAACATTGATCCAGACACCAAGCGTAAGAAAGCTTGGGTTAATACTGACACTAAATTTAGTTTCAACACATTTGGTAAAACGTATTTATTACGAACGTACAATTCAGGATTAACATAAGAAGAAAATAAGTTATGAAAAAAAAAAAAAGAGTTCGTGTTATCCTGTCATGTACTTCATGAAATAAACAGACTCCCTGTCAATCGCTCACGTAAGTGCACTGAAGTGTGACTAATCTCCCCAGTCTTTCACTATCGGCAAATTTCAAAGTGAAAATCAAGCCATTGTGTATAGACAAGGGACAGTGCATGAACCACAGGTGTAGATAGGTGTATCTTTTGTTTTGTTGATTGTCCCAAGAGTGAAAAGGTGTGAAAAAAATATTACGGACGGACATTTTCTATTATAGTAAGCGAAGTGTATACTTTTACCTATGATAATAACAGACAAAATTTATAATGAATTATTAAGAAATGGTTTTGTGTTTCAGATATCTATGATAAAAAAAGAAGTATGATATAAAACCGGTATGATAAAAAACGAATTGTACTGTAATATGTTATGTTAGAAATGCCAAATCATGAATTGCTAAAAATATTTTTCTGATAGGTTCATGTAATTTTCTGTGAATTATTTCTGTTGTGAATTATTATAATTCAGTAGAGCCAAGTTTTGTACATTTTTATGTAGGATTTTTTTTTGGTATTTACAAGAATTCTGCACTGATGTAATATTTATTTGCAATTTCTGGTTATGATTTTATAGATTTATTTTTCAGTTCTAAATTTTATGACTGTGCCACAGTAAAATTAATGATTAAAACTTTTTCCGTGTTAATTAGGGTGACAAAAAGGCAAATTTATGTGATTTATAAAAACAATTCAAATCACAATACTGAGAATATGCTAAAAGATTTATTTTTAATGCTGCTGCAATGATAGCTTTCATAATCCATTAAACACCTAAGCCCATTAAACACTTAAGCAGGGTTACCTTTTCTGTAAATCAATTCAGAAAACTTGCCACTGTGTAATATAAGATGCTAATTCACACAGTGAAAGATTAATATTCTTATCAGCAGCAGTCTCAAGAACCACAGGGGTTAAAAATGACCACTGCACAAATTTAAAACAATTTCTATATTTATCCTCAAGAAAACAAAGCAACCAAACAGCAAGTGCTCAAATTAATTGACATTTAGAAGAAATTGATTCACGGTATCATTGTAGTAGACTGTTGTGTATACTGATGATTGTATCTTAGGTATATCAGAGCCCACTACTGCTGGAGGTCCAATGAATCAACAGCAAGGACTGAAGATAACAGAAGAGCTGGTACAGAGGGTGGAAGTGGTGTATGTACTGGGACTGTTCCTTCTAGGAAAACACAGGAAAAAGGTATATATGTTTATAAAGTCATAGCTTCCATCTGACCCAAAGTTTATGGGTTACATCCACAGAATCATGTCATTGTCTGCCACCTCTGATCACCCCTGGGGGTTATCATTATCTCCTGCAAAATTACCCCACCTCAGTATTTACCCCCCTGTAAACTACTACTTATCGTATATAACTTAAGAGATATAACTCCAGTGGTTGTTGATGAAAGTGAAAGTAAGCAGTGGTTCTGTAATTTTTAGCTCACCTGAGCTGAAAGCTCAAGTGAGCTTTTCTAATCACCCGTTGTCCGTCCGTCTGTAAACTTTTCACATTTTCAACTTCTTCTCAAGAACCACTGGGCCAATTTTAACCAAAATTGGTACAAAGCATCCTTGGGTAAAGGAGAGTTTAAATTGTTAAAATGAAGGGCCAAGCCCCCTTCAAAGGGGAGATAATCAAGAAAAGACAAAAATTGGGTGGGGTCATTAAAAAATCTTCTTCTCAAGAACCACTGGGCCAGAATAGCTGAAACTTATATGGAAGCATCCTGGGGTAGATTCTAAATTTTTCAAATCATGACCCCCGGGGGTAGGGCGGGGCAACAATCCAAGTTTTACATTGAAATAAGTAGTAAAAATCTTTAAAAATCTTTTTCTCAAGAACCACTGGGCCAGAAAAGCTGAAACTTATGTGGAAGCATTCTGAGGTAGTGTAGATTTTAAATTGTTCAAATCATGACCCCCGGGGTAGGGTGGGGCCAGAATAGGGAATCCAAGTTTTACATTGAAACATGTAGAAAAAATCTTTAAAAATCTTCTTCTCAAGAACCACTGGGCCAGAAAAGCTGAAAATTATGTGGAAGCATTCTGGGGTAGTGTAGATTCTAAATTGTTCAAATCATGACCCCCGGGGGTAGGGTGGGGCCAGAATAGGGAATACAAGTTTTACATTGAAACATGTAGAAAAAATCTTTAAAAATCTTCTTCTCAAGAACCACTGGGCCGGAAAAACTGAAACTTATGTGAAAGCATTCTGGGGTAGTGTAGATTCTAATTGTTCAAATCATAACCCCTGGGGTAGGGCGAGGCCACAATAAGTACTACAAGGGGGTGGGATTAGGTGAAAAACAGTAAGGCCAAAGTTATTCAGGTGAGCGTTGTGGCCCATGGGCCTCTTGTATTCGTTTTCACAAATTTAAGATAATTATTGATTTTTAAAGAAGAGACATACATGTTAGACATAGAATGGCAATACCAAGGGGAGAGGGTTGTTTTTTACTACTGCAGTGTAAAACATAAAAACATACAATCAGAAACATGTCTGTGAAGCATCATGGAAAAATGAATTTTTAATGGATCCAAAAATATCAAAAAGGAGAAGAATATGTGATATGATATCCACTGTGATACAAAATGAGCTTAATAAGTGCCATGCAGTCTGAAACTTCATGTGTATTACAGTAAAATTTTGTCTGGTCCAGCCACCACTGGTTCTGAAGAAACTGCCCGGATTAGACAACATTTTAAACAACTGAAATTACTGAAAGGGACTTAAGTTAACATCATATTAGGCAAGATTTCGGAATACACAACATCCAGATTAGACATGTTTCACTGTATAATATATTGGTTTTAAAAGAATGCAGTGTTTTCAAACTTAAAATATCTAGACATTTGTATTTTTCTGGATGATATGAACAATTTTTTAATTAAAATTTGATAAACGTTTTATTTTTAGGTTCAAAGAAAGTTGGCAGAGTTGAAGTTAGCTCCAGGGTTGAGTGAGTTATTTGACCAGTTCATATGGAAATGTCAAGTGTAAGTAAATGCAATATGTTTGAAACTTTTCTTTATATTTATTGGAGAGAATAAATGAGACAATGGATGTTCAAGAAATTTATGTTTGTTCTTTTTTTTTTTTAACAGAAGCAGATACAGTAGTCGTCATCGTCTGCGTGGTCATAATGCTGCTTGTGAATGCAGTCCTGTAAGATTTTATTGTACACTTAAAATTCTCTCTTTTTTTTTTAATCTGGCTCATTCTTCATGCTGTTACGTGTTATTTCAGAGCTAAATTGAACTATATTGATTTTGTAGGAAGTGGCCCTGAAGATCCAGTTCCTTAGATTGGTCCACAGCTTTTGTGACCACTCGGAGTAAGTCAGCTAATCTAAAAAGGTCTTGGAATTTTTCATAATAATTAAGACCAAGGAACTGTTTATTGGGCTTGATTTTTTTTTTCTCTTAAACACATCACAAGTTGACTTAACTTTTCCTTTTTCTCTTTCAGTTACAAGCACCTGCTCCTGTCTAAGAATGAGTTAAATGAAGTTGTCAGAATTAATAGTGAGTTTTCTTCTTTCAACCTTTAGTTAACCTGTTAGTATTTTTAGACAGATAAAGGTAATGTACATGTAAGTAAGAGAAATATTCTTTATATTTCTGTATGATTTTTTTTTCAGCCAAAGCAGGGTCTCTAGCTCTATCTAATCTTTCCTCTGTAAACAAGTAAGTAGTTACTAGTATTGTATTAAGTTAGTTTATACTTGTTTTCAGTATTTTATAAATGATGATGGTTGAATGTCTCATAATTACTATTGAATTATATTTAGAATATGAAGGAAGACTTCACATCTGAAGGTGAAGGCTTATTTCAGGTCAAAGTCATACTTTCACTGATTGGGGTTCCATAATCTCTGTTACTTTCAATAAAATATTCTTTTATATTCAGTGAATTGAATACTTTTCATGCAAATGGCATATTTAATTTAAGTGGTACTGATGCTATTTATAGACAGTTGATGTGTAAGGGCAGTAAAGGGCTGCTGACAAAAATTGTGGAGGTTATGAAGAAAGAACCAACGACGTCCACATTCCGATTCTGGCTTGCCCGAGCCGTAGAGAGCTATCTCCGTGGTAACACATCCTATTGCGACCAGGTGTTTCTGATGAGGCGTGGCCTCTTACAGGTTAGTTTAGATGTAAACACGTATACACTGTATATGTAGGGAAAAACAAACAGAGTATACAGTATAAGGTTTTCCTTCTGGAACTTGATTTTATTATGTAATAGACAAAGTAATTGTTATACAGTAAGTTAAAATATCCTTTTTTTATCCATTTAAATAATGGATTATTTAGGAAAAGGAAAATATGAATGAGAGTACGACTTTGTATAAAAAGTAAGTGCATATACAGTGTATATATATTGCATAAAAGATGTATACTTACTGCATAAAAAATATATACATCAAGTCATCTTTCTGTTTTCAGCATGTAGCCTCCAACATTGTGGAGCATGAAATCAGACACAAAGAGATTCTGCAAAGTAGTTTTGATTTACTTGGAGAGCTAATTAAATTTAATGTAGAAGCTTTCAGAACTTTTGAAGAAATTCTGCACACTCAGCCAAATGTATGTATATCTCTGCATTGAATATAAATTAAGAACATAGCATAGTTGAAAATTCCATGCCCTCTCTTTGTTTATTAATATTTCATGTGAAATCTTGCAGTTTCTAATGAGTTTTAGTAAAAATTACTGTCAAAAAAATAATTTTTCAAAAATACCTTGAATGTTTTAAAATTAACTGGAACTTAATATCAGGTTTAGCAATAAGTTGTCAATGTAAAGTAAAGGCTACTGTTGTTTTGCAGTTTGACAAATTCATCAACACGGTCAACAGAAACCTAGTGGATTCAAACATGTTCATACGTAGTCTGGTTCTCTCCCTTGAACACCTGATGAATGAAGAAACAGCATTCATGGGTAAGACTCAGAAACACTGCAGTAAGGTTTTAAATATTTTCATATCTCAGATACATTCTGTAGAAAGCAGTTTGATCTTTTATTTTTGTAATCAATATAAATGTTACAGAACTGATTCTACCAAGCTACATGAATTAAGAAATGAATTTTCATAAATAATTGATTATAATACAGATTATGCCAAGAAAGAGAACAAGTTGTTGATGTACATTGGTGACTTCAATAGACAGCTGGACTATCTGTATAAACTCATCAAAATCATCAATGTCCAAAATCTCACACAGGTACTCAATCTGTATAAACTCATTAAAATCATCAATGTCCAAAACCTCACACAGGTATTCAATCTGTATAAACTCATCAAAATCATCAACTTCCAAAATCTTGTGCAGGTACTCAGGTTACCTATTTGAGAACAGCAGTTCAAAGTATTGATGAGGTGTTACAACCTGTACTTTATTGAATAAAAAAGATATGGGAAAAAAAATATGTTAAATTCTTTATTTAGTACAATTTCAGTTGTGTTGAATCACATGCAAGAATAAAAGATACTATTTTGTGTTGTGTATTATAGGAAAATGTGAGTTGCTTGAACACAACCTTGGTATTTCTGATGTTTGCCAATCGTAAGAATGCCCTCCCCAGGTACCTCCAAGCACTGCGGGACGAGAAGGAGGATGTCATGGAAGTCAGTGGTGCTGCAAACCTCCTCCGCAACTTCAGGTTCATAACTGATTACTTACCTACAACTGTAGTTAGCTCCCTTAACTGATTACTTACCTACCACTGTAGTTAGCTCTCTTAACTGATTACTAACCTACCACTGTAGTTAGCTCCCTTAACTGATTACTTACCTACAGCTGTAGTTAGCTCCCTTAACAAATTACTTACCTACAACTGTAGTTAGCTCCCTTAACTGATTACTAACCTACAACTGTAGTTAGCTCCCTTAACTGATTACATACCTACCACTGTAGTTAGCTCCCTTAACTGATTACTTACCTACCACTGTAGTTAGCTCCCTTAGCTGATTACATACCTACAGCTGTAGTTAGCTCCCTTTACTGATTACTTACCTACAGCTGTAGTTAGCTCCCTTAACTGATTACTAACCTATCACTGTAGTTAGCTCCCTTAACTTATTACATACCTACAGCTGTAATTAGCTTCCTCAACTGATTACTAACCTACCACTGTAGTTAGCTCACTCAACTGATTACTAACCTACAGCTGTAGTTAGCTCCCTTAACAAATTACTTACCTACAGCTGTAGTTAGCTCCCTTAACAAATTACTTACCTACAGCTGTAGTTAGCTCCAAGTCTTGAACCAGTTAAAAAACTATTATCCACATTTATATTTCTTGTCATTTTTTGCATACTACCAAAATTGGAATATGCATTTAATGAACATAAAGCAAAAAAAAATTGATTAAAATTAGGTTTAATATAAAATTGGACTCTTTTTGTTTTGCTTTCAGGGAGCTGTTGGTTTTCTGGCAGGATCATTATCTCCACAAGGACAAAGACTGCAGTGCTCTGGAGAAGGTAAGCTATAGTTCTGTTCTGTTGGGGAATATTATGTTTATACTTTGTCATTGAACAGGATGATTAAGAAACATATACTTTATAAAGAAGATCCAAATCAGGGGTGAAAAAGGCCTATATTAAGAAAGATTTGACTGAACAAACTTGATATATGTATCATATAACAGCTTGAAAATATTTTGCTACAGGATCTTTCAGGATGGTTTTGATATGAGTTTCAGAGTTTTAAAAATATTTCAATATGATAACATCAGAGTTGTTAAAATTTTAATAGATGATTTGCAGTATATGTTTCAGAATTGTGTTAAATATAAGTTGACTGATTTGTATTATTTCAGAGTTCCAGAATAAGTTTTGACTACTGGAAGTCTACAGTATGTACTCTAGTCACAACAGACAAAAATGATAAGTGTGGAATCCTTCATTATGTTCAGGAACCAATGAAGTGTGACCGACCTAATTAGTCATTAGACTGTGACAAACCTATTCATTCTTGGTTGTCTCTGGACAGACTGTATGGGCATTATGACCACTAACGGTTTGTACAGAACGTCTTCTCATTTGAAGGCTCTTATGCGGGTAATTAGAGTCAAGTGTCAAAAGTTGCTTCATATGTGCAATTAGTTTCATTTTGGTTTAACCACGTGCAATGACTTTGAGAGATAGACACCTGGATGGAAGCATGTGCAATATTATGACCACATGGTGGCATAAGATGTGTGTTGAATGATCAAAAGTGGTTCTTCATCTTATGAAACCCAGCCAGTTTGTGTGAGAGAAATTGTATATTTACCTTTTCTGTTGGCCATGACTGATTGTGACTTTTCATGTTTTTCTGACTGTTGGATGTGATGAATAAGTAGCGAGGATGGATTTTTCAGAATAACACAATGTGTTCATTTTTTGGTGAATTTGAAAACACATGGAGTGCTGGTAATTTCTACCTTTGACAAACAGGAAGATATCAGGTTATTTCATTCCTGTCATTACGAGTGGAAGGGAGAAGGGTTTCAGTGCTTTTTTAAAAAAATATTTTAGCTTTTAACACTGTCTTATTCAATAGCTTGTGGAACTGTTGTGTTTTGAAGCTACGAGCATTCTAATTTCATGTGTTTCTCAATTTGAGTTGTTGTAAATGATAAATGTCTTAATTTATTCACACATGTATGTATATCTTTCTGCACAAATATTTTGTGAGTGAGAAGTGTATAAAATTCAGAATATTTATTGAGTGATTGTGTAGCTTGTATGATTATGCATGTTTACTAATATGTCATTATCAACAGCATATTTTCACATTTTTTCATATATTTTTATTGTTCAATTTTTGTTGCAATGTAAATTCCCTTCTAATATAAAAAATATAACACTATTTGGGAAACAGTATGGAAATGGAATTTGTAATTAAAAATTATACCTGTAGATCAGTCAGCAAATGACAAGTTTTAAAAAATCTTTGCAATGAGTTGATCCCAGTACCAGATTTGTTATACTTTTGATCATTTTCTCCGTCCATCATTTGATTTGGAATCTTACTTAAAATCTTGTCATGTATATTCACTACATCATTACTTCCTCCCATGATATCATCATTATTTGTGCCAAAAGCAAAAAAATCTCCAATGTATGGGAGGGGTGTGAAAGACTGCCTGGTTAGACTGTGAGAAACTGCTTAGTGTGTGCTGTGATACAAAAGTGTGAAAACAAAACCTCGAGAGGTCAAGTATTTACTTTGTATTTCATATGGTTTTGAAGAAGTTGCATCCCTTTTTGTAAAATATCATATGAGTTACAAATTATTAATAACAGTGTATGTGTATATTGATGTCTTTATAAGAAATGATAATTACAGAATTACTGTCTGCGAATGCAGTAATCATTAAAATGATAATTGCTACAGAACAGAGTAGTATTTTTTTTTTGTGTGAGTTATCTGCCCCATCATCGTTTCATGCATATCATCCTACCATTCCGTCATTATAGAGAACCTCTACATCTGTGTGATCTCAGGTAATCTGATTGTCCTTAATGGACTCGATTTTATTTCTTATCTCGGTAATTTGGTAAGGATTATGGTTATTAAAATGTTTTGTCATTTTTAAGTGTGAACTTATATAATAATTTCATCACAAAAAGAGTAAAATTATAAAGATATTTTAGGTTAAATTTTAATTTTGTCATGTGCTAAATAAATCCATTAGCTGCATAATTTTAAGTATTTATATATATTTTTTTTTTAAATATATGACATGTGTACATGTACTTATCATTTCATTGCATTGAGTATTTTCTGAATGGTACAGTATTGTGTCATAAAACACATTTCATTGCATGAGAAGAATTCTGTAAGAAATACTTCATATAGCTGCATTAAGAATTATTCTTAAGAAGACCTTTTTTTTCTGTGACATATTTTATTGTGATCTGATATAGAAGAATGCAATCGGCATTGAATGCTTTGTTCTTTAATATGTATTGTTTTTAATTGTAAAAATGTACTTTTGTAAATAAAATATTTATTGTTACAAATTTTTACCACTCTTTTTCACATTTAATATCACATCACATCATTAGAGAACTTAAAATATTTTTTGTTTTCTATAAAAATATAGTATCTAGAAATTGATAATTCATACCTCTATACCAAGTTTTAAAGACCTTCAGTGCATGTTCTTGTACTGTATGCCAGAGTTTGATACATAGTATGGGATAATCTTTGTAGCACATTTGAACCTATTAGATATTTGCCTAAGGTTCAGTACTTCTAAGTCTCGGACATCTTCATTGTGCATCAAACTCTAAAGGCATATTTACACTGAACCACTAACCAGTATTTAGTTTTTTTTCATGTTTATTCATTCATAGCTTGCATCTAAGTATGTCAGTTCTGTTCAGTGTACTTAGCATGGCATTTCCTATTGAAACAAATCATTTCGAGAATATTTCTGGAGAAATGCATGTTCCATAAAGTTTTTACAGATTTATTTCTGGAATATATAGTGCACAAGCAAACATTCTGTGAACAGGGGCATACCTTGCTCACCATCCATTATCTTGCCTGCCCCCCCCCCCCCCCCCCCCCCAATGAGTTTAGGGTAAATTCATGTGTACAAAAAACCTTGACCCTGAGAAAACTTGAGCCCATAGAAATGTTTGTTTTAATCATTGACTCTCTAATATATGCAACAGTAATCTTAATTTTAATCAAAGTCCTTCAAACATTCTGAAAAACAGGAATTTTAGATCACCTGAGTCACTCAGGTAACCTATTGCTATCTCTTTTTGTCCATCTTCATATGTCGTCTGTCAGTTGCAAACTTTTGAACATTTTTAGCTTCTCTGTAACTGCTGAACCAGTTTCAACCTATTTTGTTGTATAGCATATACATGTATGGGTGAAGGATGACAAAATTTGCGAATTTCCCTGGGACCAAACAATAAAAATTAATGCAATCTTTAAAAATCTTCTTTACTTCTGGACATGAAGCAGTCAAACTGTTAGCATTGTAATAATGAGCATTGAGCTCTTGTGGCCGCTGAGTCTGGGATTCTGTTGCTAGGTCAGGGCTTCATTGATCATAGTGTGAAAATGCATTTATTCTTTTTAAAAAAAAAATCGACTTCTTTCACCTACATTTTTAGCAGACAAACTAAGTGCATGGTTATGATGAGCAAGGGTGCTTCTGTTTGAATTGTGAAATTCATGGCACCAGGGTCAGAGGTTATGGTGTTAGTATGGGGCTCTATTGATCATACATTGAAAATGCATTAATTCTTCAAAAATCTTCTCTGCCTCTGGAAATCTAGTAGGCTAATCAAATACATAGTTGTACCAAGGTGGTTTTTTTTTACCAGATATGATAAATACAGCACTGTAAAGGATCCACTAAAATATGAAATAAAATAAACTGAGAGATGAAGATATGTTGCCCCAGAGCAAGAGAAATAGGATGATCAGGGATTAACAATATAGTTTAGTATTTAGTAATAAATCATAAAGTAGATTTATTTACCTGTCAGTACTTTAGTGTAATACACTCCCTTTCTTCACTATCATTATGCAGACTAAACATTACAGTGCTTCAGCAAATGGAGTAAACCCTTCTCATTTCCTCACACATTTGCCTCGCTTGTATAATGTACAAAGATAAGGTATTTCTGTCTCATTTTTATTCATCTATTATTTACAAGTCTACCTTACCATTAAAACTTTGAAAGTACTTTTTAGCTCACCTTGGTGATGCCACAATGGAAGATCAAAGTTTTTGTTTGTTTGTTTGTTTGTATGTTTTTTACGTCCCTCTCGAGAATTTTTCACTCATATGGAGACACCACCACTTGGAGAGCCGCAAATTTTGTCCTATACCCGGCACTTAACGGCAGTGATGGATCTTTTTCGTGCCAGCACCCACTGCGACACGGGACCTCGGTTTATACGGTCTCATCCGAAGGACCGGTCTCCACGTCCCACAGTGGGATTCGAACCCGCGACGTAAGGATCAACTCCTTACTTCACGACTCTAGAGCCGACGCTCTAACCACTGCGCCACGCGGGCGACGAGAATCAAAGTTTTACATAAGAATATATAAGGACAAAATATTTTAAAATCATTTTCTCAAGAACAGCAAAGCATTATGTATTCATATTGTTTAATATGGAAGCATCCTCAGGTAGTGTAGATATGAGTTTGTTCAAATCATGGCCCCCGGGGATAGGGTGGGACCAATATGGGCTATCAGAGTTTAATATACAGATATATAGGAAAAAATCTTTTAAAAAATCAAATCAGCAAAGTTAAGCTTAGTCATATTAATATTGAAATATCTTGAGGTAGTGTAGATTCAAGTTTGTTCAAATCAAGACCCGAGGGGTAGGGTGGGGCTATAAAAATCATGACGCCTGGAGGTAGGATTGGGTCACACAGGCGCGGATCCAGGAATTTTTTTCCAGGTGGGGATCCACCCCAGTCAAAAAAATTTCCAACCCAAAAATTTCTTGACAAGCAAAAAAAAAACAAAAAAAAAAAACACGTAAAATCCATTTCCCATACGTGGAAAAAAACACCTATTTCTTGGTGGTGATGGTGAGGTCCATGTTTTCGGGGGGGGGGGGGGGTCCAAAGTCATTTTTTATTTGCTTCAGTATATACTTTTGATAACTCTGCAAATTCCAGGAGGGATCTGGACCCCCCACCCCACCCCACCCCTCTAGATCCGCGCATGTCACAACAGGGATCAGAATTTTACATAGAGATAGAAATAAATAATAGAAAAAAATCTGCTGATGAAGAGCAGCAGGGTAATATTGACCAAGGTGAGCATTGTGGCCCTTTGGCCTCTTGTATTATAAATTAAAAATTCTTGTTTATTTTTTTTTTATACGCTTGTCTTAAGATGGGACGTATTATGGTATGGAGTTCATGTCCGTACATCTGTCTGTCTGTCCTGTACATACTTAATGCTACGAGGCCTAGAATATTCAAACTTTGTCAGCTGATACATCTTGGATGTAAGTTGTGTCGCACATTAAAAGGAGGTCAGTGTGATTAGATTAAAATAATATGGGCAAATATAGAAAAATCCTGTCCGACTCATAAATGGAAAACTATAAGACCTAGAATCATCAAACTTGGTCAATTAATGCATCTTAGATAGAGGGTGTGTTGGGTCACCGTAACCTTCAATTAAATTAAAATTTTAAATAGGTGAAAATTTAAAAAAAAAAAAAGGGTTTTAAGTTACATAATCCTAACAGATGTAAGAGTACTGCAGTAATTATATAATAAAATGTTAATTCAAGAAAATACACATTTTTTATGATATACTATGCAGCAATATATAATAAATACTATTTTTTGTTAATAACAAGAGGAAAGCCACTTGTCCCATGGATGTAATTATCAAGTAGTGGTGTTTCAATTTAATGGACATTTTGACAAGAGACAAATTGCAGTCTGTCAAATTAGAAATTAATTAGCGTAGTGTAAGATTTCTGGTAGAGCATCACTGATCAAGCAAGTGCTATTTATATCTCTTGGGAATTTGGCAGAGGAATCTGGCCTCTTAATTGCAATTGATAGTATCTGTCAGATTAAAATAGTTCCATAGGCTAGCCATTACTTTCAAAATTAACTTGGTGTAAAGTTTTAAAATTAGTTTGATAGTTTATATTATAATATTTTTATTCCATTTTTTTATATCTCAATAACAAATTGCAGAGTGTCATGTCTCACTGAGATGACAGTTTTACAGTCTAAAAATTTACAGAATGATTAGTGTTTTGACGTTTTATTAGGCTGTAACATTGTTCTTCATTCATAAAAAATACAATAAACTAAGCTGCAGATCGACATTTGTAAAACTCTTACACAACCAGTTGAGAAAATACAAACGTATCATGTGTCGTGGTGGTGCACTTTTATTTATTCAAATTGACCTATCAGTTGAATTATTTACAAAAATCAATTATCATAGATAAATAGCAAAGGGGAATAACTTTTCTCAGTTGAATATAAATTCCCCTACAATATCAAGAGATGCCCAGAAACCAGAACACTTGCCTCAGTGATCCAGAATTTCACAAATCTAGTATAAAAACACCCTTGCTCATTACAACTTTCTACTCTGTTTATATCCTAGATGCCAAGGAGAAAAAAAAATAATTTCAAAGAATTGATGCATATTCCCTATATAATCAATAGAACCCCTTCATAACACAAGAACCCCTGATCCAAGGGCTATGAATTTCACAATTTTGGAATAGGCATCCTTGCTCATCATAACCATGTACTAAGTTTGTTTGCTAAATACCCAGGGGCGGAGAAGAAAATTTTTAAAGAATTGATAAATTTTTACTATATGATCAACAGAGACCCAATTGCAAGGACCATGATTTATTTCAAAATTTCGGAATATGCACCCTTGCTTTTATAACGATACACTTAGTTTATCTACCAAATACCCAAGCACAGAGAGGACCATTTTCAAAGAATAATTGTATTTTCGCTGTTATCAATACAGCCCGCCATAATACAAGAACCCCTGATCACTGGGCCATAAATTTTACAATTTTAGAAGAGATACCCTTGCTCATCATAACCATACACGTAGTTTGTTTGCTTTATACCCAGGAGCAGAGAAATGAAAAAAAACAAAGCATTTTCATTATGATCCAGGGGCCATGAATTTTAAAATTTTGGAAGACACATCCTTGCTCATCATGACCATGCACTTAGTTTTTTGCTTATTATCCAGGAGCAGAGAAGATTTTTAAAGATTGTATTTATTTTCACTATATGATCAACAGACCCCCAGCCTAACTCCTGAACTCCTGAGGGATCATGAATTTCATAAATTTGGCAAGGGTTCAGTGCTTATTACCATTATGCCAACAGTTTAACTGCTTGATGTCCAGGAGTAAAGAAGAGGATTTATAAAGATTGCATTAATTCTAATTATTTTAGTCCCATCCCCCAGACCCCAGGGGACGGGGACCATGATGTTCAAAATTTTTGTTCCCCTTCTTCCATAAATTCCACATGCCAAAATAGGTTGAAATTGGATCAGCGATTTCAGAGAAGAAGAAGAATCTGAAAACGTGCCAAACTGAATGTAGCACAGTTTAAGCGGGGGGAAAACTTGAAAACCGTGTATTGAACAATTTTCAGTTGGTAAAAAGTACAATTTCGTTAAAAGGGAACGAGAAAATCGCGGAACTTAGAAAACCTTAACTCTCTTTAAAATGAGTCATAATCCCATTTAAATAAAGCAAAACAAAATTGACAGACAAAAGAATGTCAAACCTAGAGAACCGTGGTAGTGGTTTATACAGAATTCACTGCAAAAGATAACTTCTTTCAAACATTACGTCACGTGTGTGCTAGTCGCATTAAAATTGGGAAAGCTTTTCTCATTAAATGACAGGATACTCTTAAGATAATTGATGAATTTTTTATTCATGTGCATTCTTCAACTAGTGATGTTACGAATCACTAACACTTATTTGCATTCATCATCACTGATGACTATTTCCTCTTCTCTGATTGATTGGGTATGCATCCTTGGACAAAAATAAAGGTTTTCTGCACCAGTGGACCAGTTTAATTGCGTTTATGTAATTATTTACTCATCGGTCATTTCCTCTCTAATGCATAGACTTAAGTGAACAAATTTTGAAAGAAACCTATATATTACAAAGTATTGTTTATGACGGGAAACAACATCAGTTTGGAGGAAACAAAGATGATGGTTTTGCTAGTTTTCCTCCTGATTCCGGTAGTTTTTGCGAATCCTGCCCCACCTGCCTGCACACCCCCGCAGGTGTCTAACATCCCCGTCCAATCTGGCTTTGATTTCGACAAATTTTCAGACAATGGATCAAAGTGGTACTTGGTTCTCTACAATAAGATGATCTCAGTCCCAGGAATGAATGTTCCACTCAACGAATCCAATGTCTTCTTTCGATTTTTCAGAAACAGCAGTAACGAATTGACTGGCAAAATGGGTGAGTTAGCTGGTTATCTTGTTTTATTGTCCAATAACCTATATGTAATAAGAATTTTCAATCCTTCTAGGGTTTTGAAAAATATTTTTTTTTATGGAAAACTTATTCCTATATTGGTTTAACGAATAATTAAGAAACAGTAAAGACAGTATTTTGAGATATACCTATGTTTTGAGTTTATTTTCATAGTTTAAATTTTTTTCATGTACAAAAATGATGCTTAAAATTTTATACAGCATTATTAATTGAAATCTTGTTCCTTTTGTCTAAGGTGCAATATGAAACTCCGCTAGGTCGGGAAAGTTAGACACCACTCTCTTCTCAGTAATCAGATGATGACTTTCACTCTAACAATCTGAAATACAAACAAACTTGATAGATATGCAAGACGTGTGACGGCTTTTAGGTAATGTTATTTGGGGTTGTTTGGACCCCCGTCCGTCCTTTCTTGTCACCACGTCTCCAGCATATTAGAGGATATCGTAGCCAAAACTTCTTCTTGCATGCGATTTGCCTTGTCATCTTGATGTGCAATTAGGCACTGGTATTTCGATTTTAGACCCAAGGGTCCTGAGGACCCCCAAAAAGGTGTGCTTAAAAATAAATTTCACTGTCCTTAAATTCCTTTATTTATCTGGTAGCAGATCACAATAGCCATGTCATAAAGATGTGCAATAAGGTTTCGCAAATCTGATCTCTGCCAATCTGATCCTAGGGATCAAAAGGGTGGTTCCTTATGAAAGCTTGTCAGTCAAACTTTTTCTTTGAGTTTTCAAAATGTAATTCGTTGTGCTTGAATTTGCAAAATGCTTCCAGATGCAATAGGAGCTTTAATTCCTATGTTGATCAAACTTGAATGGAAACTTTACATGTATCAATCATTATTTGGATTCAGAGCGTGACTGTTTTTTTTTTCTGGATGAGTAAATATGTAGTTGATTTTAGAGCAATTCAATTTCAAGCGACTGTTACTCTTTAATTTCTTGACAAATCTTGCATACAGGCAGTTATGTTCGGATGCTACATAAGTCCCCTCCCCCGGGTCTACGGCCATGAGAAGTCAATGGCACTTTTTTCCCTTCTGATTGTAAATCAAGTCAAGTACAGCCACACCGTTGTCAGTACCTTTGATTCAGAGGGTATTGGCAATGCAGACTTACTATTGCTGATGTTTGATATGTCAATAATTTGATTTTAGTGGGGAGAGTACGCCTAAACAAGTCAATTCCACCATTCTGCACCAGTCAGAAATCCAAGATCACTCAAAGCACGGAAGAGCCAGCCAAATTGCACCAGACTTTCAATAACCCTTTCTCCACGAAACCATTAACCTTTCACTATTGGATCCTTCAGACAGACTACAGCAACATGGCCGTGGTGTTCGCGTGTCAGAAGGAATTGGGGGATGGGACCTGCAGTCCAGGGGACACTTACTTGTGGACTCTGTCCCGGACACCCAATCACACGCCGGCAGAAATGGGGAAAATAGACAAATTAGCGACGTCCGTGTGTCTGAAAAAATTTAGAAAAGTGAATCACCAGTCACCTTGTACAGGAAAATAACTCAATGCTTAACTACAGACTGTCCGTGTACTTGATGTTTAGAAGATATCAAAGATACGAATCCAGCGTGCCATTGTCATGCAAAGAGTCATATTTTTTTTTACGAAATGTCTTTTAGAAGAACACGTTGAAATGAAAAGGTCAAAGGGATGCATTCGATTTTTTTCCTTTTACAGACCATTTTGTTTAGGCCAAAGAAATGTGGGTGAATTAAAAAAAAATGACCACCAAACTGAATTTTTTGGGCAAAATTCAACTATTTGTAACATATTTTTCACTTATATCATCATATTGCAAATGCATTCTAGTTTAAAATCCTGAAGTGGCAATAGAATAGACAATTGGATTAAAAAGTTTCAGAATTTTTATTAGAAAAATTTCTTTTGAAAAAAGAAAATATCATTACACCTTAAAAGACTTTCTAAAATACATAATCACAAGAAATTATAGTTTTTTATGTTTCAAAATGGTAAAAGTGGTATAAATGATTAAATCTAGACCTTGAATGAGTATCTTCTCTTGTACATGTGACAAAAAATTGGCTTTTTGATTGTTATTTTACATTATTTTTTCAATTCTGGTTTGAAAAGTTTTAATATGAAAAAAATATGAAGCAATAAAATTCCCCAAAATTCACTTTTTTGACCGTTCAAGTCAATTCTTTAAATCTAAGCCAAAAAAGAATTGTTTTATACGAGTTATCTTACAAAAAATACTAGATTTTGAAGTGACCCTATGTTACATTATTGTGTTGCACTCCTGACATCTGATATGTATTTTATTTAACATTGTTTTAAAAATTATATCACACAATAACCCATTCTTACTTTGTAAATCAATTTGCTGTGTTGATATTTTCATCGTTTACAGCAGGTTTTTCATATTTTGAAGACCTTAAAACATGATTATTTGCAAAGTGTAATATATATAAATTGTACTTAATAGACATAGTGTTATGAACATCAAATAGTATCAAGCATATTTTTTCAACTTATATTTTAGTAAAGATAGTTAAAAAGCATCGGTAATTATGAAGCAGTTTTGTTGCACTCCTGACTGCAGTATAGTTTAAAATCAAAACCATAGCACAAAAATTCATAAAGTGTTGGCAACATCAAGTGGTAATGAAATTGTGCAATACTTATAGTCCAATACTTCATTATTAAAACAGATGAAAGTATTTAAAATTCGCATTTTATCTGGAATTATACCCTATTTTATGCCAAAAAACTAGCTTAAATGTATATTTAGAAGATAAAATATATTTTAAAGCATATTTTCCTTTAGAAGACAAACACAGTAACCCACCAGAGAAATTCTACTCATCATTTTTTCTTTATTTTTATTCTTAGTGGATGATTTATAATTCTAACATATTTGTTGCACTCCTGACCAAAAGCATTGGGGCCTTTAAAGTAGAATTGTGAAGTGAAAATTACATAAGAACTTGTTCTGTTGTTTCAGTGAAGTTGAGGAGGAATTACTTGAATTTTATGACAATGTTTCTGTGTGTTTATTTTTAATGTTCATTTAAAAAAATCTCAAAAAGATAAAAACACATCTGAATTGATAAAATTGAAAAAGGAAGGATTTTAATAATAAAACTGTCAATAATTTAGCATTAAATTATACAAAAAGATCATTATTAATTAATGAATACTTCTAAGCATGAATAGAAGTCTTTTCGTCACACAACTTGAATCTTTTAAAAAATGTGTTGCACTCCTGACCATAGAATTATGGATCTGAAGCACAGACAGATCCTGTAATTGATAAATCTATTTGGTAAAAATGTTCTTTGTGTCTTTATTTTCCAAAATAAAAATCAGAAAATCATATAATGATAATAGTTTTTTCATGCTTGGGAGCAAAACATCAAATGTTGCACTCCTGTCATTTTGGGGTATGCACATATACTTGACTCTCATTTATGCTGCTCGTGATTTATATAACATTTTTAAGTTTTAAAATGTATATCAGTTATTATTTTACACTTCCAAAATTCTTTTTTGTCTTAATTTTCTATCAGAATTTTACAATTGATGTTTTTTTGGCAACACTACATTTTTTCTGTTGCACTCCTGACATGGTATAACATTTTTTTAAACATCAGCCATGACCACAACTTGATTAAACAAAAGTTATGACAGTCCACATTTAAAGCTCAATACTTTGAATATTATCAGGAAAGTCTTTATTTTCAACATGAAGCATTATTTTTTATTTCACAGATCTCCAAAAAATATTGAAATTTCAAAATGTCACAAAAAGGTGTTGCACTCCGGACAATTTTAGCATCATTTTTGGGCATAACTTTTTTGTTAATTGAGATATCAACGAGATATTTGGCAGGTATTTAGACACTATCTAAAGACATATGCTGAGACATAGAAATCTATTTTCATTGCCTGTATTTTTAGTGTGGGTTGATAAATATGCATTTGGTCATTTTTTTTAATTCACCCATGTACGAACTTGTAAAGAATAGTATTCTATCTGATATACGTTCTTCGTGATTCATATGCTATAGTCAATTGCTCTCGCTAAGACATCTTTGAAAATGACCGATATGTTTAAAGAATAGCTAAGCTTTTAGACCAACTATATTTTAGATTCTGGACTGTTCTACGTAATTAAATAATCCTGGATATAGAAGAAGCACTTGTCTCTGTTAAAAAAATACCTTAATCATAAAAGGTGAAAAGTATTGTAAAGATTATATTAAAACAGAAACAAGTGCCTGTGTCGTATGTAAGTTTAGTCAACATATTTCTACTTGACAGTTTTGGGATGTTTCATTTAATGAACTGTATACATGAAACTGACTATCATATTAAAGCTTTGGATAAAGGACAAATACATGTACTGCTTTCTTGTTTTTTTTTAATTTACTTAACAAGAAAAGAAGGTATATATAATTGAGGTCCATGTTAACAACAATATTTTCTGTTTTGACAAGAGGAAATATATGCTTTTGTCAAGAACATGTGTATCATTGTTCATGTATTGATGAGATTCTGATTATAGATACTATATTTGTCGTTTTATGACTGTCGGCTATATACAAGCGTCACAATACTGCTCGTTGTCCACACGAAGCCCCGTCTATCATTTTCACCCCAGTGATGTCACTGGTCAAAATGACAACTACGTCTAGAATCTTAGCTTTTAAGAATACCATATATAACACCATTGCTCACTAGTCTATATTCAGAAGAATATTCGCAATGGTCAGCTGGGTAATTTTCCCGATGTTTTTGGTTACTGTTCACTTGGCCAAAATTGTCCGGAGCCACACACATTCCTGTCCACAAGTATCTAATATCCCTGTCCAGTCTGGGTTTGATTTTAATAGGTTTGCGGGAGGACACAAATGGAACCTTGTCTTGTACAACAAAATCATGCCTATAGAGGGATTGGAGATGCCGGTAGACAAATCTGATGTTGCCTTTCTCTTTTCCAGGAATGCTAGTGATGCACAGGTTGTCAGTATTGGTAAGTATGGTGATAAATTTGTCTAAAACTATGGAGAAAAAGATTATTACGTCATACTTGACCAGAATTGAATCGATGCAATTTTTTGTTTGAATTATTTTTATTTTATTATTATTATTACTTTGTACATGTTGCCATTACAAGGACGCCATTAAATCGTTTTAACTTTTATTATATAGAGGGGAGAGTAAGCTTGGCACCATCACTAGCTTTCTGTCTGGACATTACGGGGGCGATCAACAATCCACCTGAACATCCAGCCAAACTCCGACAAACTTACTATAATCCAATCACAAAAAAGATGTTCAGCTTTAATTTTTGGATATTACATACGGATTACAAGAATTTGGCTGTAGTTTATGACTGTGAAAAGACCATGACGGACGGAACATGCAGTCCTGGAAATATTTATCTTTGGACTTTATCCAGGGGAACTAATCATACGGTTGTAGAGAAGGCAAAAATCAAAGAATTAGGGGATACGGTGTGCATGGACGTGTCTAGTCTCCGTCAAGTGAAACACAATTCTACATGCCCAACAGCTTAATGGCAAAATTATTCATTAATTTATTTGTTTTCTTACTTTTTTGTATGGGTGTTTACTTTGAATGGCCATTTTTTTAATTTTCTGTCAATCTTTTAATCCACACTTAAGTTATGAATAATTTCTGTGTCTCAAATAAAGCGTATCAGAATTGAAACAATGAGTAATTTACAATGGAACTTCATGTAACATTACGTTTGAGTTCCAGTGTATGTCCCTTTTGCCTTGGATTTGATCAAAAATTTAGAATGGCCTTTATTAAGATGTATTATTCCAAAATATCAAGGACACTATATGAATACTGTGCCACAAAGTTGATATTTAATTTCGAAACAGTTCACTTAAAAGTTACTAACTTTATTTTTTCATTTTTTGAAAAAAAAAGCAAGGGAAAAAAAGATCATTGGACTGCCATCAGCAAAATTCCGTAGACCTGATTTGCACAAAAATACTGAGTACTTAAATAAAAATTTAAATGCAAAAGTACGCATTACCACTGACTGGAATTATTTAATAGGTAAATTATGCATAATTGAAACTGTTATGAACAGGATGCAAAATTTTGAACTTTAAAAAATATTTCATTATTCATTTTACAACGCATAGTCTGACCCGAGCGGTATGATTTAATCAAGAGTAATCGAAATTCTAAAAATACAGAGATTTAGTTTTCTGACAATCTATGAAATTTAGTAACCAGCCATGAGAAAGAAAGATGCATATTTACACTATCAGGCCCGTAGAAAGTATACGTAATTCCAGTTAAAAAGTGGGGAAAGGGGGGCACAACCTTGACAAGCAAAAAAAAAAAAATCACTCGTCAGACCTTATTTTCTTTGGGGGGGGGGGGGTATTTTACTTTCTTTTCTATTGTATAAATACTGCCAAAATTATTCAGGGGACAATACAGTATATAACTAGATGAAGTATGTACTAACAAAATTATGGGGGGGGGGGGGGGGGCTAAGGGTCTGTCATTATATTTATTAGCTTTAAGATTTCACCACGAATTATCTTGTATTTATTTATGATAGATACGTTCACTGAGAATATACCAGGTCTCTACAGCAAGGAAGTAATAAGATATCATAGCTATATATCTCATTAATAATCACGACCATAATTAAATTATCGACTTCTTTTTCATTAAAAAAAACTACCAGCACGTGCATGGACGCAAAACAAACATAACAAAAGCACAATTAAGTCATTACTCATGGTGAATTTCTTGTTTTGTGTATTGTGATATGCTCATTTGTCTCTTTCATCGATTTGACCTATGCTTTGTACTTTTAAAGATGCGCAGTTATTTCTTAAAAAAAAAAAAATTTTAAGTCTTACATGTGTATTTTCATTATCGAAATTCTTACACGTAATAAATCTATGTTTTAGAGGTCTTTCCGGGATAATTGAGATTTTTATCAGGAACATGCATATTTTATTGACAATAAAAGCATTAATTTTTCGTCCAGTATCAATGTGCACTAAACATAGGTCATTGTTGACAAGCTGTCGACGAAATCAAAAGAATATTTATATACTAATTGGACAGTCCATAGTCAGCTTAGTGTCATTTAGGAAGCTTTCGTGAATTAATCCTTTATTTTTCTTTCCATTTTAGACGAAATTGGGAAAATAAATTAGTCTGTTTGGTGCCTGAAAGTCTTAACCAAATAGGTAGAATAGATGCATTTTTAAATATAATATTAAGGGAAAATGCTTGCATGGAAAGCGCATTTCCATGCCACTTTACTGTTTTTTTTTCTTTATTATTCAATATTCATTTATTTATTCATTCATTCATTGTTTATTTATTTATTCTTTTTTTTTTTAGTCACTCGACCATTTAAATCCAGGCTTCTTTAAACATTTAGATACTTATCAATACTCTGCTGAAGATATTTTTAAAAATCAATATTTCGTAGGAGGGGGGGGGGGGGCTCACCTTTCTCTTGACCAAAATTAGGTATTTTAAAATTATCCCCGTAGCTTTGATTTTAAGCGTAAAAATCGAATACAAACAACCCCTCCAACAAACAGCCAATGCATGCACTACGTCTTGCTCTAAATTAAAGGAGCACATGCAGCATGTACCTTACATGACAAATTAAATGCTTACGACTTACGGTACATCTCACAAACACGGGAGTTTTCTTGATCTTCGTGTCCTGCAATAATCTAATTTGTTTAATTCCAAGGTAAAGTACTTTTAAAGTGTGAGACTTTTACTCTGCAAATGTTTCATAACAAAAGGAAAAACACCTGACCCTGGGGTCATAAATTTCATAATTTCGGTAAAAGACTCATTTCCTGTTATAATCATGTTAACAGTTTGACTTTTTGGTGTACAGGAGTAAAGAAGAAGATTTTTTAAAAACTGATTTTGATGGTTTTGGCCCAACCTTTCGGCCCCGGGATGGGGGGAGGCAAGAACCATGGTTTTCAAAATTTTTGTCCCCCTTTGCCAACGGATGCACTGTACAAAAATTGGTTGAAATTGGTTTAGCGGTTTAGAAGCTGAAAATGTTCAAAAGTTTACGAATGTCGGACGGCGCACGACGATGGACAAAAACAAGGATTCAGGTTAGGGATGGGTATCGCCAAAATTTTTGTATCATGATATATCATTTTTTCCAGAAATATCACGTTTATATATCATGATATGTTTGAACGCAATTTTTTACTATGACTTTAAATGAATTTCCACAATTTTTCTCATAAATAAGGTGCATGTGAAAAAAATAACTTCACTTTTTCATTTTTATCAATATGTTGTTAAAGCATGTTTGAATGCTAGGATGCCTTTGTTTACTGTTTTATAACGTTTGTTTTACACTTCCTGAAATTGTAATGCAAAAGTTTAAACAACAAAATTAATTATTCCAACATTTCTTATTTTTATATGTACTTAATACCGGTATTTTAGTCTCCGTATCACAATATGTATCGCGTAATAAAAAATCGCGATATACCGGTATTTCGATAAAATCGTGTATCCCTAATTCAGGTGATCTAAAAAAAAAACACGACTAATGTTGCCATTTTTTGTATATTTAAAGCTTTATGAACTATTTCAGTGAAATATAATGTTACTTTCTTTGAGAACAAAATGAGTTGGCATGGCTTTTCACAAAGGTAATGCTCCATCATCCAATTCTCGAAAGTGAATACATATTTTTTATATTATTACTTTAATAGAAAATTTATTCAAAAACACTGTTAACCTCGGAATGATGAAACCACGCCCTCCAGTGCGATAGCACTTTGCAACAACCAACATTGCTTGACGACCTGTGATACTGAGTATTAAAAAAAAAAAAGAAAAAAGTAAAAAAAAAAACAGACTACGCGGAAAACTATGCACGCCCTTCACCTTTATTTGCATTTTTATAAAATATTTTATATAATGAAAATTTTCACCCCTCAAAAACCGCTGTCAATATCGGCTGCGCCTCGGTTGACAATGGTTTTCTTGGGGTGAAATTTTTCATTGGCTAACTTCAAGTGGCTACAAATATACATGTACATATAATATATTACTCAAAACGCGAGTAAATGTTAATTTATTGTGGATAATTTGTTACTTTTAGCAAATTTTGTTTTTAATCATTAATAACAAGAGAACACCTGTCTACACGGTGTTGATTTATGCAATTTTCTGGCAAAAGGTGCCCGTCTGACATGTTCTGCTATCATTAGGCAGAGCGCCTGTCCAAATCTATTTAAAGGTTATACACAGATTTTATGACAAAAAATCGAGCAAGAGATGGCTATATAAAGAAGAAATTCCCACTAGCTTTTAAACTTGAGTTTATAATCAACATGAGGTTTTTGGATTTTCTTTTGGGTTTCATTTGCCTTTTTGGAATGTTAAGCGTAGTCCGTCTGTGTTCAGTCAAACTCAGCACTATACCTGTACAGGAGAACTTTCAATTTGACAACTTCACTGAGTCTGCGTGGAATACGGTTAAATACAACAAGTTTCCTCCTATGGGAGGAAGGAATATCATACCCACGGATCAACGTTCTCTCTTTGGATGGAATGGCACCGAACCAATTGTAACTAACAGTAAGTTTACTGTTATTAGGAATTTTCAAACGGTTGAAAATTACCATTCCACTCAAATTGCAACAAAGTTATTAAAAATAAGACTGAGACAGTTCAATGTACTAGTATTAACTCTTGTGTTAAAAAGCTTTCGTGAAAATTGTATAGTGAGAGTGAACTAGGGACAGTCAATACAAATATGTATTTATCAAAAATATTTAAAATAAGAGCTTAAATCACGTTTATAATAGTAAAATGAATAATTCATACCGCATTGATTTTAATTTTTCTTACAAAGTTCCAATATAATGTGATTTAAAGTGACAAAAAGTTGTATAGATTAATAAGGATGTTTACAGAAAGGTAGAATAGAAAGTTTACAATTACTTAATATTTTAGAAAATTATTATTTCCATCATTTACGAGGATTGTCCCAAATTTACGAAGAAAAGCATAGTTTTTTTAGGAACCCTGTGATCAAATATTCTAACCTTTCACTCCTTCAGAAACGTTTAAGTCATAAATGTCTGGTACACATGGAAATAGTATATGAAAATGACTGAAACGGTTTTTGAAGTATGCAAAGAATCGAAAATAAGAGAAGAGACCGGTTGAAGAATCATCAGGCAAGAGTAATACTCTTCAACTCCATTACAGAAGACAGACGAAAAACCCGTAGAAATAGGAATTTTAAAATTATCATTATTTGATACATGTACATACTTTGTTCTTTATGATATCGTAAAAGCTAATGACTAAAAACAGTTAATCGGTTATCTGACAGAATTTAAAATGTAAAATTAATGTCGTACATATAACCAAAAGCTGTCACCCTTACTTGAATTTCGCCAGCTTTTGGAGATTGGGGATTTTTCCTTAAACTTAAATAAACTTAAAAACCTCTGAATGATAACAGACCGATCGACTGATCATCGATTGAAGAGTCCAAAAATTACTATTAATGAACCTATTTGACATCCCTATTTAAGGTCTGCCGTCTCCAATGGAAGACCTTTTTTATTCTGCTGTTTCTTATTCTCTATTATCTTTTTCTCTTACCGATTTTGTGCGTCGGATTCCTCGAAAACGGCTCAATTGATTTTCATAAAACTTTTACATTTGAAAGATGTTTAAATTCACAAGATACATGTTATTTGTTTTGATGACGTCACTTCCGGTTTCGAGATAGGACGTTTTCTCGATTTTCAGAGGAATCTGAAGTTTTTATTGTGAAAAAAAAAAGGAATAAAAATACGGGAAAAAATATTCCACCTTCTAATAAAAAAGTAGAGGATGGAATATTTTTTCACAACATTTGCCTTTTTACCTGTTAACATTTTGTTAAAGAAAAGATGTGCAGAATCACAAGATCTTTCAACTGCTATCATTAGAAGGGGGCTACAAATAGTCAAAAAAATTCAGTAGATGTGTTGGTTAGTAGTTTAGTACCGCACCTGTTTTCGAAACTTTTCGCGTGGTGATAAATTTTGCGAAACTTTTTCGTAAGAATTTCCCCCTAGTGCTACTCAAACATTTCCACATTTACAGTATTAGATATGTATATATTCAAAGTATTTATTCTCTTTTTATTACAGCGGTACGCCTTCCAAAATCTATGCGCTTTATGTGTTATTCAGAAACAGGCAAGGTCCAATTTCTTGAAAATAATCCCGCCAAGATGTTCTTACAGTATCGTAACAAGAGAACAAAAGCAACGCATGAACAGAATCAGTGGGTTTTATACACGGACTACAACCATATTGCTATCCTGTACTCCTGCGAGGCAAAGCCTAAGGAGCTGGTGGACGGAGTGTGCCCAAAAGAACATAGATACGTTTGGATACTTGCCAAAAAGACATCTTTAACGGAAGCGGAAAATAAAATGGCTAAAGATATGGCGGCTGACGTGTGTGTAACGGAGAGTCTCAAGACTGTTGATCACTTACGGCCTTGTAACTAAGGACAGTGAAGGCTCTCAGACAATGCCAAATTTTTGTTTTGTTTTCCATTTCATGGCTTCATAATGATACCATTTTGCCTTCAGTAGGAAACATTGGTCTCGGAATAACATTAGTTTAATGAATGTGATATTGTCTTGGAATGACATTAAAAACCACTGTTGCTTTGCTATTTATTTATGCCAAGGTACAACGATTGTTAGGGAGATATCATCATTTTTACATGTGCCAAGTATTCATTCATTTTATTTTCTTATTTCCTGTTTCAGTTTTTTTGCTTAATTGAAAACGTACGTTGTTATAAGATTTGTTTTAATAAAAATCATATATAGATTTTAATTATATCAAGATTTGTGTTTAATAACTGATTAAGATTTATATTTAATTGATGATTATTAAAGAAAACCGTGTTGAAATTTGAAATATCTTTAGTAAAACACTTCTCACAGTTTTCTTGGAAGATTGCCATCTGTATATTCAATGTACATGTATTTCCAATCACTTATAATGAACTATTTACATCCACTGAATATTTTCTCCTTTATTTCTAAAGAAAACCATTGCCGTTTATCAGTTCATGAATAACACTAGGCATATCACCTGTACAGATTTCTTGATCAGTGGCTCTTCCATCAATGAAACGTACAATGACATACATATCAATAATACAATAATTAATCTTTTTAATCCTTTAAATGATTATTTATACAGATATAAATATAAAAAATAAAATGTCTTTCTTTCGTTGTTAGTACGGGAATTAATGTCGCAGCCATTGCAGAGAAAATTTACATAACCCGCTTACGCGGGTTATGTATTTTTTCTGCAACAGCTGCGACATTAATTCCTGTACTAACAACCAAAGAAAGCATTTTATTGTTTCAAATAAATTGATTCGTGGCAAATATTTTTACTTTTATTGTAGAAATCCATATACTGAGTACACGGCAAGTAAACGCATTTATTCTAACTCAGCTTGTTTATTGTCTTTTCTTTAAAATTACAGAAAAGTAGCCTTTTTTGTAGTAAAAGCACACGAACAAAAAGAAAAACGGATAATATACGCTTGCCAATTCTACTCACATATTAAATCGAACCTTTTTTCTATCACTTTCCTATATAGCAAATTGAAGTGAATTGAATATATGATTAAGTATATACGAGAAGATTTCCATTCAGATTAACATCTTTAAAGTTCATGAATAATTTCAGCACTAATTTGGTAGATAGTGTTTAAATGTCTGCAGAAATATAATGCCTATATCGACATAGTAGGAACTGGACACTCTTCCCCAATAGGGGACTGGACATAAGAACCAGAGATACACAGTCTCGACATGATATTTTGGATCTGAGTGGGAGTGAGTGCAAAGGTCGCATTGTCTTTGCGCAGAACCCAGAGGTGATCCTTATCTGGTGCACATCTACCGTTATTGAGTTCCTCTTCACAGGTGTACCTGACCGCGTAATTATTGTAGTCAGTCTCCATGATATGCGACCTGGTTATGGACCCACGGCGCCGCCCTGTGACTTGAATGAGATCCATTACTGGTCTTGAACCCTCTTCCATAATCGTGGAGAAATCCACACGCTCACATCGAGTAAACTGATACCCGTTTTGCAAAGTCACGGTCACTTGCCCATCTGGAACAGAAAATAAATTACGTGTACAGGCGAACCATGTTTATTCGGACGTTTGTATTCCCAAACAAAGGGTTCCGGACAATTGAAATTATTTCGTCCGGACGGTGAAGCGTCCGAATTAACGAGGCTCGACTGTATATAACAGACTAAAATAATTTAGGAACATTAGACCTCATACAAAAATACGCTTTAAGGTTCCGCTTAAGGCATTTTTTTTTTTGCTTATTTGTAGAAACCGCGTTAATAGTGGCCAAAACTCGTTAATGTTCCTATATATAATTATTGTAATTGTAATTATAGAGTTACATCCAAGCAAAGCACAGTTATGAAGTTGGGAAAAAAGTTTGAAATTTTTCCATTTTACCATTTTTCCATTGATATCTAAACAGACCCATTGGATTATTTTGCTGAATCCATTAACTATCAATACTAGTAGAGAAGACAGTGCTACAGTCGGGGTGGGGAGTGGGAATGGGAGGTGGTGTGGGGTGTCTCAATTCCGATTAATGGTAAAACTCGAGTATGCTTTACGTTGGCAATGACATCACTGTGTTTTAATCAATCGTTCTTTGTAATTTCAATACCGAGGTAGAAAATACAATAGTTTTAAGAGTTCGGTAGAACCAATGAGCACCTTGTTTAAAAATACTCAAGAGTGGTATTGATTCGTAGCAATCGCATCTTCTCGGAAAAACTTTACATCACCGCGGGAATAAAATGGAGTCCCATCAACCATTCAAGTACATGTATTGGCCAGAGAGAGTTGATTGTCTCCTCTGTTGCATATTTTAGATTATAAATGTGTCTACGTTGCTTTCAATGAAGTTTATCTTCAGACTCCATAGATTAGAGGATTTCAGTGTTTGTGAAAAGAGATTGTCTTGGAGGCTTGCTTAAAACATTCGAGGTTGTTTTTCCGCACTTGTCGGAAAGACCGGAGAAGTTAGTCAAGAAAATCTAGAATTTTATGATCAATTTCAGAAAGAACTGAGTTCTGCAGTCTAAGCATAAAAGGGGCCTAAGTTACCGTTACTTTATTTTACATGTTAGACGACAAAACACAAATCTCAGATAATATGTATTTTCAGATGATAACACGGAAAAACATGGTATCTTTTCCTAGAATTTTTTTCCGGGGGGGGGGGGTCCACCCCAGTCAAAAAAAAAATCTTACCCAGAAAATTTCTTGACAAGCAAAGAAAAAAAAACGAACAAAAAAAAAAAACAACCAAACAAAAAAAACCCGTAATTCTCATTCCCAAACGTGAAAAAAAAAACTATTTCGTGGAGGTGGTGGTGGGGTCAACGTTTTCTGGGGAGGGGATGTCCAAAGTCATTTTTATTTGCTTCAGTATATACATTTAATAACTCTGCAAATTCCATGGGGGGTCCGGATCCCCAACCCCAACTTCCCCTCTATATCCACGCATGAAATATTATTCATCTGAATTTAATAAATAAAATGTGATGCGAAAACTAGTTCCTGGATATACTTTCTGTGATATCACGAGATTTTAGTAAACAGAGAGATGTTATTCTTCGTTGGAAGAACTACGTACGTTAACTCTCGATTCCCGCCTACATTTTAAACCCATTTTATTCAATATAAATGGCAATTTGGTCATTACAACTAGTTTGAATGCAAAGAAAAATTCATTAGTTATTGATAAATAATTAAACCAGTACTCTTTTTCAAAGCTCTTTTTACAAGGGGGGGGGGGGGGATTTTTATCCATTGAAATCAGGCTTTAAAACATTGCCAGATTTTCAAATACTCATGGAAATGGATAAATGACCCTCAAATCTTTCTGTATGTTTAACTTATGTAAAATTCAACATATGTGATTGGTAAAGTACTTGTTTTTATTTGTAATCGCAACTGATTTTTTTTTTTAATATATAAAATGACCATTTTTCAGTTTTTTGGTTTTTTTTTTTTTGTCTGTAAACATATGCCCCCCCCCCCCCACCACCACCACCACCGTGAAACAACAAAAGCTTTGGTATGGATTTGTGAAGGAACCATTAATTCATAATACCCGTAGAGAGGAATTTTTGTTTCACGGCTGGGGGGGGGGGGGGTAAAATATTTTCCGTTGATTTCTATAGTGAAAAACACAAGTTTAACCAAACTTTTAGCGTTATCTCTCTTTGTTTTCCCAAATGAATTAAGTCACATAAATATCTATATAAATATGAAAAACCATTAAATTTATTTTAACTTTTGAAAATTGACTTAGAGGTAGGCTGGAGAACAATACTATCGTTCGCATCTCTTAATTTTTTTTCTACCTATAATGAAAAGCATAGGTTTGCATGATGCGGCAGCGTGATCGAGAATAATTCGAGCACCCTTGAGCATAAGTTTCAACCCGATTAACACGCCTGTACGACACAACAATGCAACGCCCGATGTTTTATTAAAATATTTTTACTCGTGTAATACGATGCATTTTTAAGCAGAAATCGCACATTTCTCTTGGATAAAGTGCTAAAAAATGAATCTACAGTTCTCAATTTTTTCGCAAAAAAAAAACAATCCATGCCTTTTGTTATTTCCTTAACAATTTTACATTCAATGGTGGAAACAAAGAAGAAGAAAGAGGTAGCTAGGTTTTACGGAGAAACAATCTGTAACGCAGATAATTGAAAGCGTGCATATCACTATAAACACTAAATTTACTCAGTTATAAGAAAATTTAAATAGAAGTAAATTGTATCCGAAAATGTGTTTTTTTTCCATAGATTTGAAATATTACTATTTTATTAATTATCAATTTCATGAAAAACAGATAAAGCTTTAATCATCCAGAAAGAGCCAGTCGCGTGTATTTGTTATTTCGTGAAATCAATAAATTAGAATCGGATTTGAAGAATAAATTTCCTAAGCGGTATTTCACCACATTTGTTTTGTCTAGTTGCACGTTCCTGACAAAAAATTATTCTATATTATTATTTTCTTTAATTTCTACCCCAATAACTAAAATAACTCTTAATTTAATTGCATTTAAATGTGAAGAAATATTTTATAGTTTAGCAAACTTAGAAACTGACCAACAACCAAATCCTTGTACGTCAATAATTTAATTGAATTTAATTAATTATTTCATTACTTACTGCTCATTATAAATCCCCTCCCGTCCGCTCCAAGGTAGTACCGAGACTTAACGTAACGGGTGCTGATGCTTTTAATTCTAGGGGGAAGGCGTGTCACTGGACTTAACATTCTGTTGTAGCCCACGAGGTGCCACACCCCACTAAACCGCTCGGGTCTGAAGTTTCTCTGCACATCAAAGTCATTGATTTTGCAGCTTCTTTGTGACAGCACGGGGACTATACAGAAAATAGCCAAGAAGGCAGTATGAAAAGCGGACACTTCCATGACTTTCGGCTGCAGTAGAGAGAGGGAGGAGAATTCTGAAAAGTGAAGACTAAGATGTAAAAGTTTGCCTTTTTGCACGCGCTTTATCGCGGTCAGAATGTGGAATGGCAAAACAAGTCAATTTTTTTATCCTCATTATTTTGACAGATATCTATAAATATTTAGCTGATGATGGAAACAAGTTTACATTTCATTCAGTTTAGAAGGTCATTCACCGCTTTACCATGTGCAAGGTTCTCAGATAGAAAGTGAACATCGTTGAAACAAGCTTAAAATTATTGTTTTTATTTCAAGGTTATTCTTATAAAGATGAACCACTTTTGCAAAATTAAAAGCCCTGCATTTTAATATGGGCCATCTTCATACAGTAAAAATTTGCTGTCTATTAATTTTTCACTAGAAGAATATTTATTTTAACATCTTCGATCCATTTGTTCATTATGAACTTTTTTACTTTTGGTCATAAATTTCTATTATCACCCAATTTACGCTAAACAACATTTACTTCTGAAATTTGCCACTCAAATCCCCTCAAGTAAATCTGCACTATTAATGTATATGTCAGTGAAATCAAATTTATTTTTACAACTTTAAATGAATACATTGGCATTAATATGAATTGATTAATATATCAAATTTGTACTAGTTGCATTCTATTTTTATGACGCAATCAATACATTCATGTAAAAATTTAAGAATATGAATTTCTTGAAAGTATCTTTTTCATTCTCTCTCTCTCTCTCTCTCTCTCTCTCTCTCTCTTGGCTTGCCAATATAAGTTGTCTGTCAGGCCCCTCCTCCCCTTAACCAGTTTAAAAAATGATTCTGCGTGTCTGAATTAGTAAATTGTAAATTAAAATAGTAAATTGTGTGTTGGGGGAGGGGGAGGGGGTATGTGTGTGTGGTAAATGCTTATGTACATGTATATATAGATATTTACGTAATACAACATAAATGAAGCTCAAAATAAAAACAATAATGAAAATTTTTTTGGACTATGATACAAATTAAAGTGTACATAATGAGTTTATCTAGTTTATTTCCAGCATGAGGTACCTGCCATATTTCACCAGGAAAAATATTCAATGTTGTATTAGTTTAAAGAACACGGGCGGATCTAGAGGGGGTTCGGTGGTCCCCCCCCCCCCCCCCGGGAATTTGCAGAGTTAATAAATTTCGAAGTAAAATTAACGAAAAGATACCATGGATCCCCTAGGGGATAATTACTCTTCCTAGCGCCTAGGCACCTGATTTTTTCATTGAAAATGCTTATTGAACCCCCTCCGTCCCAATCACTTTTACATTGTCATGGCAAAATTGTCCATGTTAATGTACTCAATTTTTTTTTCTTGCATGTTGAAAAACTGAGGTATGCCACACCAAAAGTTTTCTTTTGAAATATGATTTCTGCATTAATATTGGGTTCTACGTTTAATGAATTTGTAAACAAAATAACAGCCAATTAATCTAGTAGTCTAAAGGGTTTTAAAATATTCAAATCTGAAACTGAATTAGGAATATTTCTTTAAACGCATTTACATACATGTACGTTTCAATTTCTTGTTAAAATATGGTTGTCTAATACACATTTCTTTTCTATTAGTAAAATATTTCTTCAGGCGCGGATCCGGGAATTTTTTCCAAGGGCGAGGGTGTCCACCCCAGTCAAAAAATAAATTTCCAACCCAAACAATTCTTGACATGTCAAAAAAAAAAATCCATTCCCTATCCAGAAAATTACTGGACAAGCAAGCAAAAAAAAAAAACAAAAACAAAAACAAAAAAAAAAAAACAACAAAAAAACAAAAACAAAAACAAAAACAAACAAACAAACATCAAAAAATAACAACAACAACAAACAAAACCAAAAAACCAAATAAAAAAAACAAACAAACAAACAAAACAAAACAAAAAAAAAAACAAAAAAAAACAACGTAAATTCCAGTTCCGGTGGTGATGGTGGGGTTCACGTTTACTACGGGGATGGGGTGGGGGGGGTGGGGGGTCCAAAGTCATTTTTTATTTGCTTCAGTATAAACTTTTAATACCTCTGCAAATTCCATATGTCATAAAAAATAATTTAAACTTCCAAAAATGATTTTTTTGGTGTAGCATACCTCTTCATATTTTTTAAAAAACTTTTTTGTCCGGATTTTTGAAACGATTTCGCCCTTTAATTTACTTTGCCAGTGTGATTTCCGCCTGTAATTCGGTTGCTGAAGAAGGCTGAGAAGCGGTGAGTCGGTAAGAAAACTTGGATATTTTTGAGGCAGTTCTATCACAACCCTTGAACAAGTATCAAGTGAATATTAATAAAAATGCAAGTGAAAAAATAAACATGCCATATGTTTTATTATGCTAACACAGGTGCTGGTTTCATAGAGTATATATCGTATATAAGTAATAGCCTAGTGATAGTTAAACTTGCTTACCGTATGAAACCAGCTCCTGTACAATTTACTAAACAGGTCCGACACAATCTCTTGATTTAGCTATAGGTTGAATTCGCCATGCTTAGTCAAATTGAAGATGAAAAACATTTTCTTATTCAATGTAGCAAGTTTACTTAAGAAATAAGGTATCATTTTAAAAGTTTTATTGGGATGTAAATATGGGTTGGTCATGTGATCAAATCCCATAAAGCCCAAAGGGCTTTATAATAGATTTTAAAATGATACCAGGGACCTATAGTATATAGGTCCCTGATGATACCTTATTACTTATATTTACATTTGTGACTGATTTATTACAAATAGTTAGGTATTAAAGTTTTAAACCCACAAATGATTTGTTTGTTTTTTTTTCAAAACTCAATGGTATAAATTGAATGTGTTGAACACGTCGATCACTTATGACGTCACTATGAAATTATGTAGATCGTTTATGACTAAACAATTAATTTAATGGTCACATGACGAACTTGTTTTACACAGGTGTAAAAACGCCTTGTTCAAATAGTGTTATATATAAGGGAAAACATTTGCAAATGTAAATATAAAGGAAAGACTGCAAAGTATATTTCTCAGAGATTAAAATACAAAAAGATCAAGAGTTTTTTTCCAAAGTGGAGAGGAAATTGTGGGTTTCTTTGACTAGCAATCGAAAGTCTTTATATGGATAATCATGCTCAGGAAGTATAACAAAAATACAGTTAAAAATAAAATTCAAATGCAATTTATCGTATTTATTGCCTTTTTTATCTTACAAGAATCAAATAAAATGTTTGGAAATTTGTTTTTTAATAAATACGGTTGTTTTGGAAAAACACAATTATATTTTATTTTATTTAAGAGGGCTGGGTGGTTGTGGCCATTTTCAGACTATATTGATCTCCTTTAGAAGAAGAGCTCCATATAAAGATATACAAAAATGATCAAATTTTAAAACTAAAATGTATGAAATTTTTGTTTGCCAAATGATAGTTGACAGCTTAAGATATCATGTCTAAAAAATTAAGTTATATCTGATGGTTAATTTGTTGACCCCCAGCCTCCTTAAATCTAGACTCCAAATTCATATTTTCCTTATTCTTAAAATCTTTTTTTTCTTGTGTTTTAAATTCCATAATTAAAAAAAAAAGTAAATTTAGATGTCACACAAAATCAGGCACGTAGCTGCCTATGGGCAAGTGCTTACACATCATTTTCAAACAAAAAAACGTAGGGGAGAGAGAGAGAGAGAGAAAGGGAGAGAGAAAGTTATCAGAAATAAATATTCTGTACCATCCAGCAAATATTTTTGTGCTTTAAATTACTTTGTGTTGTACTGTTTCAATTCAGATTTTATAATGTCTCATTTCTACATACTGTAATTTTTGGGGTATACATCGATGGGGTATATAGGTCGAAAGGCTCATTTTTAGCTCTAATTTTAAAAAAAATCCATAGATAGGATGAATTCGGAATATAGGACGAGGTGTTGTTTATCGATTTTCTAGAGATTCTTACGCAGATACTACGAATCAGAACATGTGAACTTCTTGGCTTACCCTTTGATATTATCATATTGAGAAAATAAAATGGTATTTTTTGAGTAAAACCAAAAGTTTCTTTAGTTGAAACTTCCTTGAATTCTGCTATACAACGTATTTTCTCCAACTTGCCTGTTCAATGCCATCGTAGTTTGACTGTCATTAAACAGTATCTATAAATATGGTAGTATACAACAGCTGTAAATTAGGGAAATACCCCAGACCAAACAATAATTATTTCCATTTTTAAACATCATGGACACATTCTTAACATATTTTATATAGGCATTATTTACAATATTAACTTCGATGACCGCCATTTTTATATTTCTTGTATTAGGGATTAGCTAAAGCATGCAAATGACTATTCATGTAATAGTGAACAATATATTGAAATTTAATCGTATTTTCATTATATATGGCTATGTACCTGAAAATTAATAAATTATTTGATGAAATGACAGAAAATATTTTGTGATCCTACAGTATAAATTCAAGTTTATGGAAAACTTAACCTGCTGATTTTTTTCTGTTGACATTTTACCAAGTTCATAGCAGAAATAACAATATTATCATTCTTTTTTCCTAAGATATAGGCAAGTTTTTTATATTGGATATGGCAAGAGTTACTGTTCTTGTGCATTGCATGACGGGACAGAAAACCCTCGAGTCATTTGAGAGTATACTCTGGACCATTTCAAGGGTTCAACTAGACTAAATATGTACTAGTAAAACTTGTAAAGTTGGGGGTCCACATAGCTCCTTAGGTTTTAAATGTTATTTGCAACCCTGCTGTATGTGTACATAAGGCCAAAAAAAATAATAGTCTTGTTATCTGCTACCCAGACTAACCCTATTTTTTTGCGCCCGACCCTTAAGTTCTTTTTTCAGTTTTGGAAAAAAAACCCCAGAAATTTCCAGAATTTCGTCATTCCATCACCGTAATCAGTTTCTGTGTTAGGCCATTCCAAGTTTTTTCTCTGTTTAGCGTTCACCCATCTCTCAAAAACCTACCTACCTATTTGCAAGAAACACACAAGTCAAAAAATAAAACACAGACTTTACAGTAATAAAAATGACATCATTCAAAGGATTTGATTTCATGAATCTATTTTTCTCATAGAAATATCTTC